CAACGGTACGGTTACCTCCCACAAAACAACGAACCCGACGACGTTTCGTTCGAGCAAGCTCTCGCTCGTTACCAGAAAAATCTCGGTCTACCGATAACCGGGAAACCAGATTCCGACACGTTGTCACAGATTCTATTACCAAGATGTGGATTCCCTGATGACGTGGAACCCAAAACGGCACCGTTTCACACAGGGAAAAAATACGTGTACTTCCCTGGACGGCCCAGGTGGACAAGAGACGTCCCACTGAAACTTACGTACGCCTTCTCACAGGAGAACCTAACCCCTTACTTAGCACCAACAGACATTCGGCGCGTGTTCCGACGCGCTTTCGGCAAGTGGGCTTCGGTGATCCCGGTAACCTTCATCGAAACAGAGGATTACGTCATCGCCGACATCAAGATCGGATTCTTCAACGGAGATCACGGCGACGGAGAGCCGTTCGACGGCGTTTTAGGTGTTTTAGCACACACTTTCTCACCGGAAAACGGTAGGCTTCATCTAGACAAAGCAGAGACGTGGGCCGTTGATTTCGATTTGGAAAAATCTACGGTGGCCGTCGATTTGGAGTCTGTGGCGGTGCACGAGATCGGTCACGTGCTTGGACTAGGACATAGCTCGGTGAAAGACGCGGCTATGTATCCAACTTTGAAGCCAAGAAGTAAGAAAGTGAATTTGAATATGGACGACGTCGTTGGAGTACAGTCTTTGTACGGAACAAACCCTAATTTCACGTTAAGTAGTTTACTTGCGTCGGAAACTTCGACCAACCTAGCCGATGATGGTTCGATGATACGGTCTCAAGGAATGATCTATTCGACTTTGAGTACAGTTATCGCTCTCTGTTTTCTTAATTGGTAGACTAGAACAACTAGATAAATTTTCTTTATACAAGAAATCTGAAAACGTATAGAAGAATCATACAGACACATGAAAATTATTAATTTGTTGTTTTATTTCTTAACTTCAAAGTAGTAGTCTAATCTTATGTTTATGTTTAGAATGACATGTTCTTTTTTAGTTTATATTTGATTGGGCTTCAAATTATACGGCCCAATAGAATGCTGATGATGCTAATGTATTGATATAAGAACCAGTCTAGACCAACACAATTCACAGTTCGTTGGCCTGTGCTCTTGAATTTTTCAAAGCTCATTTCGTTTATTTTTGTTTGTTTTCTTGAAAGAAGTAAACACAAAAGACACACCAGAGGATTCTTAGAATCGGGTATTTTCAGGGAAGATTTTAACCGGAAAATGACAAAATGAATACTATTATTTCTTTTATACAGAGTACATTATTATTTAAGAAAAAAAGATTGAAGACATCCGACACATTTTCTTTGGATATACATATCTATCCCCAATTGTCGTTGTCGCATTGAAAAGGAAGTAGGCTCCACGGCCCATAATCATATTAACGGTACGGCCTGGTTGAATCACTTTCTTCTCTTCTCTATCATTTTGGGTTGTTGGTTATATCATTCATAATAATTGTTTGGGGAATAGTTTAAGAGCCAATTTAAAGACCACTGCAATTGTTGTTTGAAAATAAATTTACCAAACTTGTCTTTGGTTACACGTAAGTTTATACTACCGGATTTTGAGGTTTATTCGGTTTTTATGTAATTGTAGTTTTTGACATTTTTATGTAAAAAGTTTATAAATTAAATAGTAGTTTAGTTTTAATGGATTTCACACTACTTTTTTAGTTCTCATGTTTGTAAAAAACAATCTTCTAAACTTGTTTCATGTGTATCGCGCCTCTTCTTCTAACTATTTCATCATATTCACGTCAGGAAAAAAAATCATCATTTAACTTCATTGGTTCCTAACATTTGGGATGTATAGGATCTCTAGTTCATTTGAAAAATTATTACTTAACAACTATATTTTGTATTTGTCACAAAGACACATCTCTTATACGTTATCTTATTTTATAGTATGTACGCTATATTTCTTTCTATTTATCCAATTTTGTCGACATTCACCAATTTTACCAAAAAAAAAGACATTCAATCAATTTTGATCGCTATAACTAAAACATTAGGTACGTAAGAGTGAAAGACTTTGAATGAAAACTCCGTAGAACTAAAACCATTAAACCAATTGATGGCATTAGCATTCTTAGGCTTTCCTTGAAAAATTCGGAATTAATTAGATAAATGTAAAAAATTTGTAGTAAACATTTGAAAATTGTAAATATTAAAGAAGGAGACAAGAGGGATAAAGGAAGAGCATATGGTCTATCATCTTTGCATGTTATTCGTCAGAAGAGATTATTATCTAAACCAAAAAACGTCTCCTTTTATTTTCTTTATATATAACTTTATTTTCTTCAAAAATTGACTTGAAAAAAAAGATCGAGTGTTGTTGAGAAAAACTCATATAATAATATTCGGTGTCATTATGGGCACATGAGGCCGCACGTGTTCTTGCTGTTTACTTTGGGATCACCGTCCTCTGTCACGTCACGTGATTCAAGAAAACAAAAAATCAAAAGAATAAACAAAAAAAAAAGTTTTAGCATATAGTAATATCAATAATGACATATATATATTCGTCGTTACATATATAATAATATGAATATATGCGAGTAACGAGCGTTCTTAGTGGTCACTTGCACACTACTAGTGTCACGAGACCACAACATTTGGGGAGTATCAAATCCATAAGTCAATTTTAAAAACTTATACACATTTTTTTGTTTTTGTTAAATAAGACCAAAACAATAGACTCTGATTGAAAGAGAGAGACTAAAGAGAAGTTAGTGCCACCGTACGTCAATGTACTTTCTTTCTATTGTTTTTTCTCTCTTTTCATATTTTTGGGAGGAATAGTCATCTATTATTGCAGCAAATAGCTAAATTTTGGTTTGGTAAATTGTGGTATAAATAGTAAATTTGAGTACATGGAATTTAGAAAGTGAACCTTCCGAGCCAAGAAGAAGGTGACAGCTGGAAAAGACACTGTCGGTAGTAAGTGAAAATAATCATAAAAAAACAAATATCTTTCATATGGCTACCTCTCGTTCTGTGCCATCGTGTTTAATTAATGGTGAATGTGCAGTGGGGTTGGGTCCTTGTGGGGAGTCACTTTGTTTTAGTAACAACAAATTAAAAAGAAATATACATTAGTATATGGATTTCACATAACTCAAATATTTTGTTATAAATTAAAAGTTTATCTCAATGTGATCAAAACTCTAATAAGCGTCACACGACACGGCCCGTTTCTTTCTCTTTCTCTTTAATTAAACTCATAGTATTTCATTAAGTTTTGTGTAGATTCTTAAAATAAGGGGAAGACGATACTACATTTTTTCGTGCAAATAAATAGTTATTAATTTCTCTTTTTTAGTGAAATTGCACGGTGTTGCACAACAATTCAGTTCAAACATATAAAAATTAATAGATGTATATCTATATTACTTACATATGAGGTTCATTTCTAAAAACATTCAATTGATTTTATTATTCGTTTTACTCTTTTCTTATTATTATTTTTAATGCATCATCTTACTCTTATATTCTTCTTCTTTTGCAACTTTCTGGCCCCCACATGGAGCCACGTGGCTATATTAACTTTTCCTTTTTACATTCGTTTATTTTATTTCCGTAAAAGAGATGAAAATAATTTATCTTTAGAACTTGTGTGGATAGGTCAATAACTAAATTTGTCGGTACGTACCATGAAGCATGTGTTATGCCTATATATATTTGGAAAAAAAAAAGAGAGAGATGGTGAAATTAGCTTAACTAATAGTTTATCCGCCGAACAACTCTCTTGTACTCGTAAAAAATAAAATAAAAATTCAGACAAATTGGCCATCTTCCATTATTCGTCTGCAGCATATACGTGTATTATTTCACTAATTAACCTTATTTTGCTGTTACTTTAGTTTATTTTAATTTTGCAGCTTAATTATAATTAATTATATGTATAGTATACGCATTAAATCAGTTCTAGTGTAAATTGTACGTCAATTGTAGTTTGTGTACATATATAGAAATGACGATATTGTAGCAAACGTTGTGGTAGCCAACGAACAAAGTCTCATATACGGACATGCGTATGACTATTTGAAAGAAAAAGAGCACAGAGAAATAGATAGATAGACCCACTAAATAAGTAAATAATACGTACATAATATTTAGTACAGAAGCAATGAAAGAGACGTATATATATATGATGACTGAAAACATTTTTGTAATTATAAGAAAAAAAACAAAATATAAAGTTATGCACGATCGATCAGGGTTAAGTTAACTGATCTGTTTGAAAAATTGGTTTCGATATCTATCATAATTTTCTGGCGCAAATGCGATACCACTCAAGATTCTATAAAAAACAAAGTTAGATAAATTAACAACAAATATCATTGTTTAGATGAAATCCCTCTTACTGAAAAGATCGAGTTGCTGAAAATTAAACCCTATTACTTATATGTGATAACGTATGTTGCTTAGTCAAAATTTTATTTTAATGAAATCACGAGAAGGAACATATACAAAATTAACTAAGCAATTATCAAATTTTCAAAATCAACTCATGGTGAAATACTAGTAGTTGAAAGTTAGTCATGTGACATGTTAAACTTGAGTTTTCTTGTTATAATATTTTCACTTCGATTAGTTGGCTACTACAAAGTACAAACACATTAAAAATATAAAAAAAAATTCTATTGTGAAGGCTTATAATGAATTTGTGTAGTTTTTAATGTCGATTGTATAAATTGAAGTAATTAAGTTTACACTAACTCTATTCATCCGTGTAGTATAAGTTTTGGAACATTTCAATATAACTTAGTAACTGCATATATATAGTTTTAACTCTCTTTTTCTCATAGATAAAGGTGGATGATATGATAAATAAAAAAATAAATAAAGAAGAGAGAAGTGAATAAGGTCGAGTCGGTCACTCACGGTGCATGGTCACTCTCTCTGCACGTTCTCTTGCCCTCTCTCTCTCATTATCTTCTTCCCTATTAAAGACTCTAACCAGTCACACAGAGAGTGAGAGAGAGACAGAGTCAGAGTCTTCTTCTTCTGCAAGAGATAAACCATCAATCATAATCTATAACAATGGACGTCTATGGCTTATCTTCACCAGACTTACTTCGAATCGATGACCTTCTTGATTTCTCCAACGAAGACATCTTCTCCGGCTCTTCTTCCGGTGGTTCCACCGCCGCTACTTCCTCTTCTTCTTTCCCTCCTCCTCAAAACCCTAATTTCCACCACCACCATCTCCCTTCCTCCGCCGATCATCACTCCTTCCTCCACGACATTTGCGTTCCCGTATAATCTTTACCCTCTCTCTCTCTCTCTCTCCAATCAAAGTTTCGATATTTAAAGATTGTGTTTTGATTTTCTTGATTTTGTGTGCAGAGTGATGACGCAGCTCATCTTGAATGGCTTTCGCAATTCGTGGACGATTCTTTCGCTGATTTTCCGGCGAATCCATTAGGAGGAACTATGACTTCAGTCAAAACTGAAACTTCCTTTCCGGGGAAACCAAGAAGCAAACGATCAAGAGCTCCTGCTCCTTTCGCCGGAACATGGTCACCGATGCCAACGGAATCCGAGCATCATCAGCTTCACTCCGCCGCGAAATTCAAGCCAAAGAAAGAACAATCCGGCGGAGGAGGAGGAGGAAGACATCAGTCGTCGTCATCGGAGTCGGCGGAAGGAGGAGGAATGAGGAGATGTACTCACTGTGCATCGGAGAAGACGCCACAATGGAGGACAGGACCACTGGGACCTAAAACGCTATGTAACGCTTGTGGAGTCCGGTTTAAATCCGGTAGACTTGTACCGGAATATAGACCGGCTTCGAGTCCTACTTTTGTTTTGACTCAGCATTCAAACTCTCACCGGAAAGTAATGGAGCTTCGACGGCAGAAAGAAGTTATGAGACAACCACAACAAGTTCAACTTCATCACCACCACCACCCGTTTTAGTTTCCACTGCCTCGCTCGTCGTTACTTTTTTTTGTTTTCTTTTTTTTTTTTTGGTTCTTGGGGTTGGGTTTTGGGGTAACGTCACGTGATGATGACGTGTCGCGATCCTAGCGGCGTTAATCACGTGACCGAAGACGACGGGAGCCTAAAATTTTTAGCGAACGTTGCAAAATCAAACCTCATTTAATTGTTAATTATTAAAAAGATTATATCTTTGTTTTGCCTTTTCTCCTACGTCATTACTTCCTCCTTTAATTTTTTTTCTTTAAGTATTTACAAATGATTTGATCATTCACTGAAGATGAATTAGAAAAAGCTTCATTAATTTCCGCTTACACTAAACGGCGTCCAGTGTTCAGATTTATATATATTATACACTTGCACCCTTATTGCGACTTCACGTTTCGACCAAAATTTATTATCTGTGGTGCTAATCCGGTTTACGAAATTGTGTATTTAGGTTCGTTTTGCATATATTGTAGTCGAATTAAATTGTTGTTTTACTCCATTCTACAAAATTGATATAACAGTTTCAAATTAAAGATGGAATCTAATTAGAAACTATAACAAATTCAAAGGGAAAACTGGATTTTAAAAGTACACCTTCATGGGAGATTTAAACATGACAACATCATCATGAACTTGTATTACTAACTATTGCCAAAGAACGAAAGCCCTTGAAAACCCAAGACAACAAGAGATTACATCTTTGGCATTTGACACCAAACCAAAAAAGAAAGTTTGAATCATGTTGTAGACATTATTATTGTGTAATTTTGCTCCATCATCTAAAGAACCTCAAGAGAAAACATATTCGTAGCTCGAAAATGGGGTTTGGTTTGCCTCATACGGAGATACCATAGTTGCTGATCTTGTTCACTTCCTTTGTCAAAGCGTTTCTCTCTTGCTTCACTTCAGAAGCACGGTTTGATATCTGAGGTTGAACAAGTCAGATATCTCCATTATACTATGTATACAAATGATTATAGATTTATTCCAAACTAGTTCAGCTCCTAACTCTAGATCCAGCTCCTATACTCTACATAGAAGAGCAAAGAGACAAGTAATACTTACATGAGTGCGGAATCGAGAAGCTTCTCTCGTTGGCAGTTCTTTTAGTACATCTTTCAAACCTGTATATAAATGATGGTGGTATAAGTAGATAAGCTTTGTTACGGCAGTTCTTCTGTTCTATGCATAATTTTGGTTTCACAAACTGTAGCATGATAGCACAGAAAGGTGTACCTGCTGCTTGCTTTTCAATCTTATAAGCTGAGCTGATCGCACCTCTGATTTGTTTGCCTGCTTGCCTGTGTAAAAAGATGAAGAAAGTTAACATAATATTCATGTTGATACATATCCAATATACTAATCTGGTAATTTGTCTGGATCATAAACCTGAGTTTCATCCTTCCTCTAATCAATTCCTCTTCTGCCACAGTTGCGACTCTCTGAAGCACTCAAAGTTAAAAGTTGTTAAGAATTCAAAAACCGTAATCCAACACCGGCTTCTATGTCTGCGAAAGTAGAAGCATTCATCCATATCCACTGAATAAGGCTACATAGAAAGTTCTCTGTTCCAAACCTAACCCCTTTCAATTTCATCCTAAACGCCACACATTCTATTTCAAAATAAAGGGATACGGAAGCAAAACCGAAAAGAGAATAATATAGCTAACTAAATGCATAACATAGGAAGTCTTCTCCACAAACGCCAACCTCATGTTAACCATAACAACTCTTAAAACAAAAGGAAAGGCTTACCTCTAACTTTTCACTCTCGGCTTTAAGACGATCCATTGATTGTCGCAACTCTTTTACTTTAAGATCAGCTCTAGAAAGCAAAGCCTGAATCCAAAACATAGTGTCAAGAGTCAAAAACATCTTTAAGAACAGAAAGACCAGTTTATACATTCAACGAAGTTGTATAAAACACTGACCTCTTCACTTACAAACATGCGTACAGTATTGTAATATACAAATCTTCTTGTCTCTGCAAACAAACAATCACTAAAAGAGTCCATAACATATACAACTTGTGAATTCATAACATAACATCCTAGGAGATGGAAACTCTAGGGAGATCAAAAGAATATCCAGAAACCATACTTTTCAGAGCAAAAATCCCAACTCCAAAAGCTAAGGTGCCTGATATTAGCGGATGAGATGCAGCAACATTCACACCATCTACAAACAAAACTGACAAACACATGAGCCAAGAGAAACAAGGCACACCAACATAGAGGTAGCCAGCAAAAGTAGAGCAGACCTTTAATCTTCCCAAACACCATTTGCTCGTAAACGTTATACTCAGAAGCAATGTCTCGAAGAGAATCCTATATCCCAAAACCTCGATTTCGTGAGAGGATAAACAATCACACCAATGACATAGAGAGTACATGTTGTGAATTTCAGATTCGCTTTGGATTCCGTTGAAAATTAGGGAGTCGTAGTAAGCTTACGATGGTTTGGCTCGTGTGAGCTACAGAAGTATCTCGAATCTGAGACAATCGAGATTTTGAGGCGTCAATGGTAGAATCCACCGTCTCCGTGATCGTCTTCTGGTATACAAGCGCCTGACGCAACGCATCATCGATCCAGGAAGCCGCATTTTCCACCGTCGTCGTTGCGATCTTCTGATACTCCGGCGGGTGCACTGGAGAAGATTGAGGAATCTCCGGCGGATTCGCGTTGTCCATCTCTGAGGATGATGATTCTCCCAAGGCTGCCATTAGAAAAGATCTCTTCTTCAAATACCGCGACCTCCTTCGCTCAAGTTCTGAAGAAGACCCGGTGGACGAATGAATGACCCGAATATAAATTAATCGGGCCCCGTTTCAGATTGACAACTTAAGCCCCTGGAATTTCAATTTATTCCCAACATTTCCCTTTTATTTCTTAATTGTTCAATAAAATCCAGAGACTTTTATAGATTAGTTGTGTTTAACTAACACTTAACCTCTTAGTTAATCTCCTCTGTGCCGTGTTAAGCCTCAACTATTGCACTCTTTAAATTTATATAATGTTAATGACTTCTTCGAAAACTAGATGGTGATAATAGAACTCATTTGTGAGATCTATATAAAGCTCATACTTATAATTTGTGTTGAAGAAAATTGGAATTTTGAATCTCAAGAAACTGGAATTGTGAAGATCGTTTATACTCAGGTAATAAACCACAAAATTAAAACATTAACTGAAACCACTGTCTAATATTTTGATCACTAGCAGTCACTTAGGGTGGTGATGTCTTCAACTATAATCTTTCATCACTTGACAAAGTAGAGCTTGCCCATGACATGAAGCACCGCGACGAAAGCAATGAAACCGATGCTCATGATAAGGACAACATTAGGGGAGATCTTAAGACCGGGTGCATCATCGGTGTAGAACTGAAGCATGGATCCAGCTGCACCACCAGAGGCTCCTCCTCCACCAGCACCACTGGCCGGCTTCCTCCTACGCATGCTTGCAGTTGCAGCGGCACTTCCTCTCTGTGGAGCTCCACTACCCACCATTCTTTCTTCTTTTCTTACTATCTGAGATATTAGTATACAAAGTTTTAGAAAATCGAAAGCAAAAGAGTGTTCTTTATATAAAAACACAGAATTATTAAGCAAATGAAAAAATAGGAGACATCTAAACACCATTAAGCTAATCTATGTTTAGATTCCATGGTCATACATTCTATATGATACTAGAAACCTCTGGTAAAAGATTTGCATCCCAAATCTCACAGGGCAACTAAGTAAACCTAAATTTATATACTATTACCACATGATTCCATTATCCTTAAGCTCAAATCAGCACAAATTCAGGTTCAATCATGTAAATTACTTGGTACAATCCTGTTCTGGTTACCAAGAGTTCTTAGAAACGTAATTGAAAGAAACTTGTTCCAATTTGTCAGTTACTATATGAGATTGAGCTGCATTTTAAAGAGATAGAAGATTCGAAACTCTCAAACGCAGAGAATTAATTTCAGCATCGAGTCTACAAAAACTAAATTGGATGAAGCAATGCTAAAATTCTCAAATCAGCGAGACAAATTCAACATCGAGACCTATTTAACAATGAACATGCATATAAATTTCTCAGATGCTATGCATGTTGAATCGTATCCAGATCGGGAATCGTATACCACCACCGATACTCGGATTCAACATCGAGATCTCATTATCAGATCTACGCACACGCTCATCTAACAAACCATAGATCTACCAATTGCCTCAATCACCAGAGATTTAGATCGTAAACAAAAACAATCACAAAAGACTCACCTGATTCGGCTTACAAATTCTGATGACGACGAGAGAACGATTCGTGACGGAGAGATTTGAAGACTTTCGGAGTTGACCAGACTCTTAATAACAATTTTTATAGGAGGGGATATTTTTTCTCGCCACGCATCCTTTTATGTATTAGCCAATTAACAAACGCCATCTCAGCGTAATTATCAGAGCTTTTTTAGAAGCGTAAGTGGGAGAGATAACTAAGTTAAAGCCCAAACAATGAAGGCCCATAAAAGCCCAAAGTAAAGTCCATCAGCATAAAAGTACGTATTGTCAACAACTTTTCTCGCACGACAGAAAATTTATAAGAATTAAAAAGAAATGTTTGTTGAATATAATGTAGGGATAATGAATCTAAAGATTGATTGTGTAATCATTTACTTTATTTGTAGGTCATATGAGAAGAAATCTGAAATGTGTGATTTTACAGGCAAAATTAATGTTTATGGCTTTTGATTCCCTAATATCAAAGGACAAAATCTAAGCCAGATAAACAAAATATCTTCCAACCGAAATTAGGTCCACATCATTTATCTGTAGATTTTTTATATGAGTTTGATTAAAAGCTGATTTAATTGTGACTAATATGGAGAAAAGTAAGCTTGGGATACGATCATACGAGTCATGAAAGAAGTTTCGTATCGAATTCGTACGTACGAACAAAAGTACGTAGACATTAACAAAAGCATATGTATTAGATCTGAAACACGAATCTCGAGATGGAGACAGATATGTGAATCAGAGAGTGTAATTGTAATGATACATATCTATCGGGCATAAGGTTATGGAGCCTGACATTTTGTGTACGGTCACAGACTCGACATATACTGTTTTTTACCTTCGTACATATCGATCATTTCCAAAATTTAATTTCATTCATATGTTCCAATCAATCAATGCTGTATATTTTTATTTTATATATTCTCAAAAAACAGTGATTGATGATGAAAGTTATCAAAACAATGTCTAAGTTTGATGTTGGTTGATATCCTTACTACTGTTATTTTTTGTATGATAAGGAGACTAATTTTCCGTATTCAAAAGATACTTATTATTTTGATCATTATTTCAAATGATCGTATGTCACATTCATTTTTGGTAGAATAATGTTCACACTATACTCTTGCTTTTAAAATGACAAGGATATGTCATTGACATTAATATAAATTAAGGAAAATATATGATGTTAAATCTTATAAATAAGGTGGGGGAGAGACAAATAAATACTAAGAAAAAAATAATTGAATCAGGCAAGCAATGATGAAGTAGTAAATTATTTTAGACGGGACGATATTTTGTGTGTAAGAAAAATCAAAACGGGGTCCCTTTTTTGGCATTTATTATCAAACGTATTCGTGCGGTGGCTGTGGTTATCTCAATTTATTACTTGTACTTTATTTTGTCCCTCCAGATTCATCTAGTATTTTTTTCTTTTCTTTATTTATTATTCACCACACGAAAATAATTATATCATCAAGTTTACCATGTTGGAGTTGTACCCTAGATATATATCAGAAGTTGTACTATAATTTCTTTAGTTTGAGTTGCAGTTGTCGAGCAGATACGTAAGGATGGAAAAATGTGAATAGTAACATATTTATTTCGTTTTAAAATAGCACGACGAAGATAGTGAAATCACACTGCTATTATTAGCATTCGTAATCATGATGCCTTTTCCAAAAATCATATAAATAGAGACTTTCAAAGATTGTAGCCTTGCAGGAAGGGGGACTTTATAAAATAAAATAAAAAGATTGGAACGGACTAATATCCTTAAAACGCTCTATATTTAAGGCGGATTATTTTTTGTTTGTGTTCATAAACACGATTTACAGTTGGTTTGTATATATATTTCAAATTTTATAGACTAAAATTTAAAAATGATGAATAGAAAGTAGAAACAATAATCTACACATTGATAAACTCGTTCCTGTCTATACAACTATCAAACCCCTTAGATCACATTACTTCTATATGATTTTTTGAGTTTTGAAATTAACACTCTCGTGTTGCACATGGTATCAGGTCATCGAGTAATATCGCTTAAAAAAATTATACTTCGTTTTAAAGTTCATCATCAGTTCGTATATAGTTTATTAATAGTAATACGTTTTGATCTTTTAATCTATTTAAAGAAAGGAAAAAAATCAAATAATATATATTTGGTATTTTCGTGAAAATATAAATGTACGGCTATTGAAAGAAATATATAATCATTGAATAGGAAAAATAAATGTTTGTGTGCGTTGTCTTTGATGGAACCTCCACGCGTGTGAGTAGTGATCCTTGTGGATCCTTCGAAGCTCACGACGTTCGACGTTGACGAAATTCACACGTGTGTCTTAAACAGTGCGACACGCATTGTTTAAAACCACTTGATAATTAAAAAAAATTATAACATGAGTGGGCATAATCCTAAGAGATTACTTCTTGGCTATACCTTCCAGAACACGATACACAGTATCTGGGGGGAGAGGAATAGCAGACGACACGGTGAACAACCTTCTCCAACGGGTAGGCTAGAAAAACAGATTGACAAAAATGTGCGTAATCGGCTCTCCACAATCGCAAGAGGAGGAGACATGGATGGCAGTTTACAACGATAGTTTGCAACAAGGCAAGAATGAAGTTGGACTCTTTTTAGAAGTTTAAAAAAGTTTGCATTCAAATGTATAAACGTTTATTTTTCTTTGAATATAATTTAACATTAGATTCAAAAAAAAAAAAATAATCCTAATGGCTAGAAGCCTAGAACCCTCCGGCTCCACCAGAGAGTTTCACCGATGTTGAGAGTTCACATCTCTTTCTCTCTCTTCACCGTCTTCAACATAGACTGTCGGCGGAGTCTTCTTTGTTGAAATTAATTAATTATAAGTTGAGATTCTTCAATTTTTGTACTTTGGACTTGGTTCATTATATTTGAAATTTCAATTGATTTTAAATATCAATGTGAATAAAATATGGAAAATCTAACCAGAAGCTTAGCTGTTGCACTTACACATTTGTTTCCGGCTTTGATAATAATTAATTACTTATTTTAGTAACTTCTCTACAGCTTCCATATGACTCCAAAAACCTATGTCGATTCTCTTTTCGATAAAATTCCATATTATAAAATTATATATCCTCTCACTCTAAATGAATTAAAAATTAAAATCGTCAACTACATTATCATTTCACGAGTGGTTAGAAATATGATTTATTTTTGGGTGATTTAGGTGAATAACCAAAAAAAAAAGAAAAATTAGTTTTTTAGAAAGAAGGTAGAGAGAGATAGGAAGAGAAAGAGAGTGAATAGGAGGGTTAGAGGTTAGTTATTGAATTAAAGTTTTTTTGTTGGTTAGTTTTGCCAATTTCCCTTTATTTTTCAAAAATCTACTATGTAGTTTGTGTTCCAAAGAAACGAGGAAGTCGAATATATGTGTTATGAACTGATGACTTTGTTTTGTCTTGCTTTTTTTACTACAAATTGTAATCTAGATCAAAATCGACCAGACTAATCTCTAGAGTAATATAAATATCTAGTAGATTTTTTTTTTTAATGGACCTAAATATGATCAGTTGAGCAAACGAAAATGAAAGAATTTCGACATCGAATGAGAATCGAACATGGAAAAAAACAAGTTGACGCCATTTACTCTATATATTTTTGACCACCAAGTCACTACCATTTGGTTGAGTTTGTATTTAAAACCAACAAAAACTTTTAAGAACAAACTTTAAAAAAACGTTTTTTACTTATAGTAGGTGAAAATTAAATAGCTTTATCTAGACTAAAGAGATTCAAATCTGAGCTATAGTTACGTTTCAAAAGAAAACCTGAACTTTCGTAGTTTGCACGAGCTATGTTTTAATACTATTAAATATTCAGTACACACACACACTATAGTTAGTAGTAGTAGTAACTTATAAACATTAAACTAAAATATTTTCAAATAAAGAAGAGGTGAGGAAGTTGCCCTACATCGGAAAGCTACTCTTCTCCATCCTCTTGACTACTGTATATAAAAAGCCTCTCAAAACCTCCCTTCCATTTTCATTCTAAAATTCAGTTTCTCAAAAAACCCATTAAGTTTCTCCGATCAATGGATCCTCTAGCGATTTCTCCGAGGAAGCTACGATCAGACCTCTACTCATACTCTTACCAAGATGACTCCAACACAGTACCTCTAGTCATCTCTGTTCTCTCGTCTCTGATCGAACGGACTTTGGCTAGGAACGAGAGAATCAGCCGGAGCTACGGTGGTTTTGGTAAGACACGTGTCTTTGATTGCCGGGAGATTCCTGATATGACTATTCAATCATACCTAGAAAGGATTTTCCGGTATACCAAAGCCGGTCCATCGGTTTACGTCGTTGCTTATGTATACATCGACCGGTTCTGTCAGAATAACCAAGGTTTCAGAATCAGTTTAACCAATGTACATCGTCTCCTTATCACAACTATCATGATCGCTTCCAAATACGTCGAAGATATGTAAGTTAATTACCTCCAAAACAGAGTTTGAATATTTCCAAATAAAAAAATCCTCTGTTTTTCTTGAACTCATTTGCTCTATCTTTGTTTCTTACAGGAACTATAGAAACTCGTACTTTGCGAAAGTAGGAGGATTAGAGACAGAAGATTTGAACAATTTGGAACTGGAGTTCTTGTTCTTGATGGGATTTAAGTTGCATGTGAATGTGAGTGTATTCGAGAGTTACTGTTGTCATCTTGAAAGAGAAGTTAGTATTGGAGGAGGTTATCAGATCGAAAAGGCATTACGTTGCGCTGAGGAAATCAAATCTAGACAAATTGTTCAAGATCCTAAACATCATCATCACCATCAATTTTCTCGAATCTTGTTGTAGGCTAAGAACAACTCTGTTTTTTTTTTTTTTTTTTTGAGGAGGGCCTTTGACTTTCTGATTACCTTGTCGGTTGGGTTTTTTTTTGTTGTTATTGTTTTCTTGAAAGGTAAATAGAGAAAAAAGTATAGACTGAGATTGAATGTATGTATATGATGTATCAGCATTGTAGATTCTATTCTATGTATCTGTTGAAATTCTTAGGAGATGATATTGCAAAATCTATGTTAATCTGTTCTTTTGTCATCTAATAGATCTTTTTTGTCATCTAATAGTTTCTTAGACACATGAACTAATAACATCGGCTTGACACTACATATCCAATTGATTAATTAGGCGTGTTTGCTTATGGTCCGTGATTGTGGTTTCTCATACTGGATTTGTCTATTCATTAGATAATGTTAATATTGCTAGAAATCTTAATAAGAGTCATGTTCAACTCATAATCAAACAAATTATTGTGTGTTTTTTTTTTCTTGTTTTAAATTTGACATTTTAACTAGCAAAGCAAACACGAGTATTTACATTTTCTACCTTGTAAAGATGTTGAAACAGGAGACACTATTACAGTTCATAATTGACTGAGATCACCGATTGTCTTTATTTAGGAAATAAATAGTTTAAAGATTGTTTTTATTCAGAAAAAATAACAGTTCAAAAGATATTTCTTGTCAACAATAGTAGGAAATAAATAGTTCAAAGATTGTCAAAAATTGTTGCAATATTTTCCTAAAGATTTCATGAAATGAAATTAAGATTTGATGCTGCATGGAAATTCCACGTCACTCATGGATGTTGTTTCTTTAGTCTTGTTTTTTAATCGGTATATTTGTGCGGACCATGCCTATTAAAAAAAAAAAATCGAATCCGCCAAAAACTAAAAAACAGTTTTTGGATTTTTCGGATCATTCATTTTGCACAGACTTTAAGTCTTCATCTACTCGTATGAATAATATCATCGGGTTTGAATCCGTTTTCTTAAGATTGAAAATTGATGTTAACTCCCGAATTTAGTTTATTATAAGAAACAATAATTTTTTTTAAAATGAAGGACCATTAATTCGAAATCTCTAATACATTATACATCAACTAAACAAACCCAATATTTATTATTATTTGTTTTTAACTTTTTGAACTATATTATCTATTGGACCATTTTGTGTTTTATAAAGGTTGTTATTTCGAGTGCCTATGATTATTGTCTACCTAAATAAGAAAAGTGGTCGTTAGTACAAATTATGATCAAAGCCAGCAAATGGACAATTTGCTATTGGAATACAATATACCATTAAATAAGATTAGCGACGGAAGAAATCGGACGGTCCACATCTTTTTTAATAACCAATAATTCAATAAATATTTACCGCAGACAAACCTCACCATTTTTTTTTTCATTTTTCTAAAATAGTACAGTTAATTGTATTTCAAAAAACTCCAAAGTACCGATTATGAAGCTTTGGTTAAGTTTTCAAAAAATCCCTGCCCAAGTCTTTGTAAATGTTTCACGAGCAATTTGGTGTTAATTAGGAAAATTTATATAAACAATTATACTATTTTCAGGGAAAAACATATAAAATGATATCTCTGAAACTATTTCAATTAATTAAGTTGGTATATATCAATTATGAATGATTTATTGTTCACGGAGAAAATTTTTTAATCGGCGATTAAAATTGTATTAAAGTATTTTTTTTTTGTCTAAATATTAAAGTATTTTTGGTTAAGTACTTAAGTTGTATTTAAAGTATCAATTGTACAATTCTTGACAATCTATTATGTCCACAATCATGCAGAATTGCAGGCATCAAACATGAATTGTATCCACATTAATCATTTTGGATACATAATAAAAAGAAAGACAAAGTCAGGATTCGGGTGCTGATTTGGTGTTCAATAATTGATTAATCGGTGGCACATAAACACGCATTACCGATAGTTTTTCTAAGTTTCATTTTTTTTTGACGGATCTTCCTTTCATTTTAATGATGTGCATCAAGAAATTTTCAAATATATAAAAAATATTTTTTGTATTGGAAAATCATTATACAAAGAATAGTGCACGTAGCTAGTGTGGTTCACGAGCATATTCCTAATCAAAGACATCAATCATTTGATCTAATCCTTTGAACTAGATAACTACATATAAGATTAGGATGGGTGTGTTGATTATGATGTCTAATAATTGCCTCACAAGAGGTATACAGATACTTATCTTTTAAATACCATGACTTTAATTTTATCTAGATATCTTTGGCATACATAATAATTTAATTTAATGAAAACAGCTACGTAAAGTTCTTAGATGAGTTTTTCCAGTTTTTTAGTGGTTTGGATTGGTTTGGTTTTATTGGATTGAATAATGCTACTTGAAGTTGAAGACGTACTATAGCCAATTTCAAATTTTAGAGATAAAACAAAGAAAAAACACTTCTAGAAAATAACTATAGAAACCACTACTTTTAATTATATTGATTTTCTAAAATTAATATCAATAGAATTTAGGAAAACATTTGACCTACAACTTTTTGTGAATTTTTTTTCTATTTTTGCTTATACTTTGCCTATGTTTTGCTTATATTTTGTTTAAATTTATTAATTTATTTTTCATTTTTTTTTATTTTCGTTTTTTTTTGTATATGATGATAATCATGTATTAATAAAGTTATGAACTTGTAGTAAACAAATTATCATTAAATACATGAAAATTTACAATTTAGTGTTTTGGAAAATATATGATATATTTATATTGATTTTCTAAAATTAATATCAATAGAATTTTGAATTGAAATATTTAGAACGACCGGTTTCGAGACGAAGAGAGTAAAGGCTGATTGAGGATCATCTAATGTCTCCATGATATGAAAGACCGGTTTACCCCTAAGTAGTAAGATATCCGTAGGAAAATCGAAACTTTCCCAAACGATTTTCCTCTGGATGTCTTTCAACACAAAATTGTCGTCCGTTAGTAGTTCGGCCACCACCGCTGTTTCTTTGCTAACTGTGGTAGACCAGACTTCTTAACCACCCTTCTTCTGCTCTAGAAAGAGCATGTTTGGAGAGAATTTCAAACAATTTGAGGAATTCATCGGAAAGTCACGGTTAGCGACCCAAAGAAAAGTTTTTTCTGGGTGGCTTTTGTACCATAAACCGAACTCATACTTACCAGAGACATATGTCTGATTTTCAGAGAGACTTTCAGTTGGTAACAATTTGTTTGTAGAGTTGCTTGTAATGTAGAAAGTGGTTGGAAGCAGAGAGCAAACAAATTGACTAATTTTTTTTTTTATAACTATTTTTTGTAGACAAATTTCATAAAAAAACATCAATTTACAAAAAATGTTGAAAAAAACATGAATATTGCTCCTGGTAAATTAAATTACCAATTTTCATTGACTTTCCAATTAAATCGTAAATTTTTGTTGACTTTACCAGATAAAGCATGTCGTTAAGTCAACCGATTGACCAATTTAACAGAGTTAATCAACGTTAATTGATTCCGTTAAAACTCTAAAATGATGTTGGGTCTTTGATTCTTTTTCTTGCCTGGGAGCGACATCAAATCTTCTCAGTTGATTCTTTTTTTTTTAATCAGCAATAGATGGCGACTTTTTATGACCTGTAAGTTCATTAAAGCTCTAAGATAGTTGGAAAAATCCACTTGAGTTTAGATGCGACTCATTTATGATATTTTGATTTTTGATCTAACTGAATTATATGCAATCTTATTTTATAATTATTAACATAAATTAACATATTATTCAAACAATATTAATTATTTTAAAATAATATTATTTTTCATTTTCATAATGGACCAAACTGAAAGGAAGATTAATTGTTAGTGTGGTCGGTCATTTGACTCTTAAACCGACGAAGGAAGCCAGTCCAACTAAAACGGTGTGTATATATAAATTGGAAGAACCATCTCTTCTTGGTGATGAGATGTTGAGACTCAACTAAATTTGAAAGTTTTTTAACTAAAAAGAAAGCCCACATTCAGCCCATTAGTCATCAAAATATCTCACTCATTGTCTCTTCCACTCTCTTTCCTTTTCCCATCTAGCAAAGGCTTACTCTCCGATCGATCTCCTCTCGTGGCGTCTCCTTCGTGGTGTTGTAAGGTAACTTTGCGTCTCTCTCTCTGTCTCTCTTAGTCTCTTGGCTTGGTGAAGAATAAATGTCTATGCATTTGGTGTCTTTGGGTGAGTCTATGTTTGGTGTCTTTGGATGAGTCTGTCTATGTTTGGTGTCTCCATTCTCTCTTGATTTGTTCAATTTAACTGTTTTGAGTTCCTTTTTAGAATACAACACTTGGTACGTTTGTGATTTTTGTGATATAACTTAGTAACAGTGAAACGAATTTTCGGTAGCGCGTGCGAAACAATTTCGAAGTGAGTGAGATCTGTAGTGTAACACTTTCAAAATAATTTCGAAGTGAGAGATGCATAATTTTCCTATGATTACTTCAAGTAATTCTACATTTCTCTTTAATGGGTTTATTCCGAGACTGTTTTCTTCAAAATCGATTTGTTTGAGATGTAACTTGTTTCTTTTTCTGTTGCAGCGGACATGGCGTATAGGACTCTTCAACCTGTCTCTGTCCGTTCTCTGTGGGAAGATGCTGTCTTGCGGTTGTCTCAGCTGATCACTCAACCGAGAGATTTCATGAACCTTCGAGATTTTGTTCTAACGCTGCTACTTAGCTACAGCTGGAATACTGACCGGTTCTTGCAAAATCTTGAAGAGTCGACAGATGAGTTCTATTGGCATGTTAATTTATGCATCTTTGAGCATAGAGATTCAAAATGCTTCGACTGTGTGCAACAACGTTTCCAGGATATTGGAGAGGATCTTTTCTTGAGCTATGTGAGACGTAGTACACTTGAAGTTAGGCAGGCTGCTTTGGAGCAGACTTTGGAGATGTTGAATCCCTGTTGCGGATGTCTTTGCGAAGAGCACGTTAAAACTCGCTTTCACTACAAACTGTTCTCCAGGTTCGGGATGCTTTACGCTATTCAAAAGTGCCTCTACTGTAAGAAAGTTTATCCCAAAGACATCGGGGATAAACTTGATTACAGCGGGAGCACTTTTGAATAGAGGAAAGCATTCCGAACCTGAAGGTCCTTCAATTCGTAGTGAAAGCGAGTTTTAGCGTGCTCTTCGCAAAGGCATCTGCAACCGGGATTCAACATCTCCAAAGTCTGCTCCACAGCAGCCTGCCTAACTTCAGGTCCACTACATCTCAAAGACCTCAAGAAAAGATCATGTACAAGTTCCTGGTGACGTTTTTCCACACAGTCGAGGCATTTTGAATCTCTATGTTCAAACATGCATAATCCAATATGTCGATAGAACATATCTTCCGACTTTTCAAGATCTTGCAAGATCCAGTCAGTATTTCAGTGGTAGCTAAGTAGCAGCGTTAGAGCCAAATCTCGAGGGTTCATGAAATCTTTCGGTGGAGTGATCAGCTTAGAAAGCTGCTCGACAACATCTTGCCACAGACGACGGAAAGAGACTCATACTAACCCCCTTCACTCTCTTGCTTTTAGTTTTATATGGCTTCCTTGAATAGTTGTAACTCATATAACTCTTGTCTTCTGTTTGGACTTTACAGGTGGACTTTGGTGAAGAGAAGATAATCCACTTTGTAATTTGTTTTAAATTAAGCTAAAATTCAGTTTGGAAGGACGACTTTTGCTTTTGTTAGTAACTCTTTTCGGTTTTCTTGATCTGCATGATGACGACTTGTATTGACTAAAAACTGTTTTTTGTTTGATAAACTAAACTGAGCAATGTGGTCAATTGAGAGAATTGATGCAAACAAGAAAACGACATGCCAAGATATTCTTCTACGTTTCAAACCACTATTCTCCAGTGCAACAATCCTACTCCTATACCACTTGTGATGCTTCCCCAGAAGTGACCAAATTCTTTCTACTGCCAAGCTCACAGTTGTCCGGAATTACTGAAAGTGGAGGCTCTGTAGCTAAGCTTGCTCTTGTTCATCATTCGTATCCGTGGATATGTTAATACTGTTTTTGTCTGAGTTTTTAAGCATTACCAAAGACAGATGCTATGTTGTTGTCCTTACATGCTGCCATCCAAATTAATTTCTACCAAATAAGTTTAAATACAAACTCTCAGATGCAGGGATTATTATATGCAGCTGCAAACAATGCTTGTCACTTACCCTGACAGAAGGGTGGGTCGTAGAGCTTGCTCTGTATTGGATTTTCTGTGACTCAGGACATATTCATTTCATCGAATCCCCTGGTTTTGCAAACAAGTCAAAAGTCCAAGCTGCACGAAACTAGTTGCAAAGCAGAGCATATGAAGTGGGAATTTGCTGCTGTTACTAGCTCAGCTTGAATGGAATGGAGCTCAACACATTGGCACAGATGGAGATGTAAAGACACACCTGCAGCAGACTCTGGCCCTGCGAGCTCAGCATTGATCATGTTATGGCTGCATAACTAGCCCTGGTCTTGATGATATCTATGATTCTTTTGTCAAAATTCTACTATAGTTTGCGTTCCACAAAATGTAATAAGGCGAATATGAATTTGTGCTTTGTTATTTAAAAACAAATTAAACGCTTTTATGAACATAAATTTGCTTAACTAGTCCGGGCAAAACAAATTTGTCTTCAAAAATATAATTATTAGATAATATAAAGTATTATTAATACAATCCAAAATCGTAACCATCCTCTTCCTCTTCCACTTCGCCTTCATAGAATTTCTCATCTGTGTTCATCTTGTATGGTACCGCGTAGTCTTCTTCATCTTGTTCGTTTTCAACAATCTCATGCTCTTCCTTCTTCTTTGATCTCTTGGGTGATTTCTCAGCTGAAGTATCAAGATCCAAATATTCGCAGTGAATTCTGCGAAATTTCTGTATAACAAGTTCAAGACTCAAAATCAGAAAGACAGAAAAAAAAAAAAACTCTTTTTCTTCAAAAGATACAATGTTTTTTACCTTTCGCTTGACCATTCTACCAACAGCTTCCATGGCTGTAGCTGGAGGAGGCGCGTTCTTTTCTTCCTCAGCACGTTGTTGTCGTTTTTCTTTTCTAGATTTCGCCGCAGCTGCTTTAGAAGCTTCGAAAAGGTTTCTTGCATTATTGCTCTCGTTTAAAGCTACTGCTTTCTTAGCTGCTTCCTTCTACAAAAGAAACCAATTTGGTAAAAGGTTCTTTTTATGTATGTTAACAACAAAACTCTGAAAGGGATCCAATATTCTATAGCCTAATGAATCACCTCATCATATCCGGGATGTTTGAGATCAAAGAAGATCTTAACCAGGCGCACTTCTTCTGGGTTCCGAAAATAACAATCCAACTGGGAAACAGTGAAACGATCAGACAGAAACATATTTGAAGTTAAAGCATTTAATACAAAGACAAGAAAGTAAAAGTTATTGCCCACCTCTCTATCATCGACGTCAGACAAGGTGCTTGATTCATCCGAATGTCCATCCGACTGCCAAAAGTCGGATTTGAAGCATAAGTAAGATTTCACAAACAAAGTTTCCTCAGAGATCAAACTAAACTTACATTTAGTTGTTTGTCGTCGTTTTCTTCTCTAGAAGCTTTTTCCTCCATTCTCTCTTTCTCTGCTCGCTGGAAGGCGGGAGGATCCGACCCACCTTCAAGTCCACCAGAAACTGTCATGAACTGCAGAAAGCATCTGCTTGTCAAAAACTCGGAGTTGCATAAACATAATAAAAAACATAAACCGGAGAACATACATACCTCATCGTAACAGCTCTCACATAATCCATAATCAACAGGTTTACAATCTTGATGCATACAGAGCACTACTCCTTCTTTGTAAGAATTTGGCTTCCTTTTACTTCGCAATGCAGCCGTTTCTTTTTTTCTTTCAGTTTTACTGAGCTCATCTGCAGTCAAACTTGCAGCCTCGGTATCTCCAAACTCAATCAATCTTTTAGTTAGGGTTGCTTCGCATATATGCACAATGTTCACCTGAATTAGAAACACACATCAGCACTGAATTACTGAAACAAAAAGGTTCAAAACACTAGTTGAATCGAACATCTTACGATATCTGTCTTAGAGCACTTGATACCATGAGAAAGTGCAGCTGTATAGAGTGCAGCTCCACATATTCCACTTGGTTTCCGTCCGGTCTGCAAGCCAACATTAACACAAAGCCATAATAGAATAAACAAAACTCTAAGACAAACAACATGTAGGTACACACACCTGCATCCAATCTCTCTTCATACTAGCTATAATGTCTTTCGCCGTGTCCACGACTGTTCCCACGACTTTCTTACTGTGTGCACCTTTCAATAACACTGCAAGTTTATGATTAAAAAGTGGAATACAGTGAAGTTCTTGCATCAACCCAATACAGAAAAAAAATGGGAGTTACTTACTGTTTGTGAATCCAGGAATGAAAATTGAAGGATCAACAAGTTTCTCATAGTTGTGGTTTTCTGTAATGTAGAGCATGTCACAGAGTTGCAAATACACAGAACCTAAATCGTAACTGCAACAAAAACAGTAGGCTTGACAGGTGATTAGGCTTATCAGATAAAGAGAAAAGTTATGGAGATGAAAACAAAACTCATTATCTTACACGCTAACACGAAGGTAGCTTGAAAAATGAATAAGAAGAACCGCCAAATTGAATTGCCTAGAGATCAAAGAGAGTTTTTTGGTTAAGATACAGAGCGTCACTAGTAACAACATAAGAAAAACGATTGGTAAGAACCTGCTAACCTGCAAGTCAAGTAGAGACATGAAGAGAATACTAGTTCTCTGCTACGGCCTTTAGTGAAATTATGATCAAGTGCAATTCTAAAGAAATTAGAAGCCATGACAATAACATCATCTCTGTCATCACCGATTCCCAAAGCATCTCTCAAATTCATAAGCTCATCTTTAGCTGCAAAAAAAAAAAAGCAAAAAGATGAAGAACGGAATGATATTTATCTACAAGCAAGGCTGGTGAAATCAAGTCAAAGGCATATATATTACCTATTCTGATTATCCTTTCACGTGAGCTTGACATCCCACTCTGAACACTCTTCACTATGTTACCAGAAGCTTGGCTCTGCAGGTACACAGAACCATTTGATGAGAATCAATTCTAGCTCTAAAGTAGAGGAGCGAGGTTACAGTAATACCTGTCCAGCTGCATTCTTAACGAATGTTACTTCGGAAGAAAAATTGAAATTCTCCAAAATCCTGCCACATAAATCACATGACCTGCAACACGAAATTCAGAATAAGAAAGCTCCTAAATCCGACAGAAAGAAACAGATGAGTGAACAAGACTTACAATGCAGCATCATCGGGGCGTATTCCGGGAACGTTCTTCCCACAATGTTTACACCACACCATAGCTCCAAACTTGGCTTCTAATATGGATCCAAAACTCTCAGATTTGAGGGAAATTAGAGAGAAAGGGAAAGCGCAACAACACGACGAAGAACCATACAAGGTCAGAAAGTCGACGGCTTTTCAAAAAATCTGGCGAAGCAGAGGTACTAATAAGGGTTTTTCGACGGTCTGGATTTGATCAGATACTGTATACATACATCCGGATATTTGACACGACTGGATCTAAACTGCATGGGCTTAATAGTCCGGTTAATTTGTACTGGGCCGGTCTAGTGATTATTACTGTATATCGTGGGCCGGATGTGCACCATCATCAATCTAATAATAATTAACTTCATAGTCAAACATTTTTTCTAACTCTACAAAATTATTAATTAATTCATGGGACCTTCCTTGACGTTTTTACTTTGTCATAAAATAATTAAAATTGATTTCAGTAAATCGTCATGACGAACCTGATTTACGCCAAGTTTTACGTTCATGCGATTATTTTCAGACCTTTATGTGTACGTATGTTTTCAACCGTGCGATTAAGTTTCAACGACCAAGCAATCTACCTTTAACGGCTACATCAGCGTACAAATTTCGCCATCAATATAATTCCAAATTACCTTGATTTAGGGAAAATTAAGAATTAATCTGCTATACGACACCGTATGATGCAGCCACATATAAACTATGCCTATAACTGTTAACCGTAACGTAGGAGGATCCACTTCGAAATAAAACTAAACAAAAAAGGAAAGACTTCACGTTTCTTATACTACTTTTTAGACAAAGTAACACGTGGATTAATACAGTTGGGCAAATTATAGCCTTTCACGGGATTTTATCAATCTATAACTACTATATAAGTAGTCCTTATTAGCTACTGAATATTATCATTTATCACTATGGCAATTCTTATCGTCGAGCGATATTACATGATCATGAACTTACTCTTTGCTCTAACTTGTCTCCTCTTAAACTTAACTCATTGCTTTAGCCCCAAGAAACTCAACATTTCAGCCGCCACGACCAGTGATGCTGATTGGTCTATCGCCGGAGCTACGTGGTATGGCAGCCCCACCGGATACGGAAGCGACGGTATATATATAAACATGTGTTATGTTATGTCAATTAATTACAGCTCTAGATAAAGAAGCAAGAAACTAGCTATATATATAATTATACTAACCACGATATATTGATTATAATGAAGGTGGAGCTTGTGGTTATGGAACTGCTGTTGCACAACCTCCGTTTTCGAGCATGGTATCAGCCGGAGGTGCGTCGTTGTTCAAGTCAGGGAAAGGGTGTGGCGCATGTTACCAGGTTACTAATTACAATAATTATGCACAAGAGATTGAAATTAAATGAAAGTTTGACTTATATACTGATGTAATTATGTACGTACATGTACAGATAAAATGCACTTCGAAATCGGCATGTTCGAAAAAACCGGTTACGGTAGTCATCACAGATGAATGTCCTGGGTGCGTTACTGAGTCGGTCCATTTCGATTTGAGTGGTACAGCGTTTGGTGCCATGGCGATTTCTGGTGAAGATAGTCAGCTTCGCAATGCAGGAGTTTTGCAGATTCTTTATAGAAAGTATGTATCTAAGGATTTCACATTAATAAACATAACTACAACGTTATTAACTTATTATATATACTAATTACTAAGGTTAGACTTTGTGTTTCATTGTGTTTTTTTTCCTTGTAGAGTTGAGTGCAACTATATTGGCAAAACGGTGACGTTTCAAGTGGATAAAGGTTCAAACGCTTACTACTTTGCGGCTTTAGTTGAGTATGAAAACGGAGACGGCGAAATTGGCCGAGTCGAACTCAAACAAGCTCTAGATTCTGACAAGTGGCTGTCTATGAGCCAATTGTGGGGTGCCGTGTGGAAGCTCGACGTGTCGTCACCTTTGCGTGCCCCGCTGTCTCTCCGAGTGACTTCGCTGGACTCCGGCGAGACTGTTGTCGCTTCCGATGTCATTCCGGCAGGCTGGCAACCCGGTTCGATATACAAATCGAACGTCAACTTTCAAGTTTAGCTAGAACTAAATTAGTTCTATAGTAGAAATAATATCTCTTACTTACAATGTTCAATCCCGTACGTGTGGTGGCACAATAATATTAGGTCAAGAACTAAAGAGTTGATCTTGCTCTAACCTACAGCCAGAATTAGATTTTGCTGTTGCGTAAACAATGCGAATTCGATTCTAGTGTCTGCAAATGTTTGTTCATTTGACTTTTGGTTTAGACAGAATACATATGTCATATGTGGTAGGTTTACGCCTTTACACAGAAAACTTGTATCCAGGGTGATAAACATGATTAGAAAATAAAAGGATTTTAAGCTAATATATATGTCCATAAGCAAATTAAATATACATTAATATATAAAAAAATTTCAGTAGTTCATAATTCTTGTGGTATCAAATTTTGTAACTTATAATTTTCACAAAAATAAATATAAGGATGTTTAAGGGTTTGTAATATTCATTCACACAATTAATGGAATAAAAGAAGTAAAGAACACTCGGCAAAAAAATGTATTCGCTTCAATATCATTTTTTCTTTGTTTCTTATATATGCTTTTGAGAGTTTATCCTTCTCTCATCCAAATTCATAATAGCCATTACATATTTTGCTTAATATTTATGTTCTTTACCAAAACGTTTAGTCAGTTGTCAATTGTAGTAAAATATTTTCAAATTGATTAGTTAATTTAGTAAATTGGTCATACAAAATGAAATACATATATTAATATATACCAATATAATTAAATCTTATATAAGGAGTTATGTATTTGTTGACCACAAAAATATATAATGTTATTTCTTTACCAAAAGTTTTTATGACAAGTTAATAAACTATTTTGAAAGCAATTACCAATTTTCATTTCAAATTTACCTTTCCTGTAGAGGATTGGAGAGCTTGACTTCCATAGATATAAGATTCACTTATATTACCAATATACAATTTCCTAAAACATCGTGAGAGTATTCCAAAAAAAAAAAACATTATAAAAAGCTTCGTCATCTAGTGAATCAAAATCACAAATACCTTTAAATATAATAAAAAAAACTTTTTTATACAAAACAAGGTAGCTAGATCAATGGCATCATCATCACATAGATACTTCGTTCTCTTAGCTCTTTTTGCAGTCTCACTAAAGTTTTGTTATTGCCAAAATGAGACTATAGATGTTGCTGGATCGGGGACCGCCGGAGTTACTTGGTACGGCGAACCTGTCGGCGCCGGTAGCACTGGTACGTAATAATATTATCAGATAAAGAGAAAAGTTATGGAGATGAAAACAAAACTCATTATCTTACACGCTAACACGAAGGTAGCTTGAAAAATGAATAAGAAGAACCGCCAAATTGAATTGCCTAGAGATCAAAGAGAGTTTTCGGTTAACATAGAGAGCGTCACTAAACGATTGGTAAGAGCTTCCTAACCTGCAAGTCAAGTAGAGACATGAAGACAGTACTAGCTCGCTTCTACGGCCTTTAGTGAAATTATGATCAAGTGCCATTCCAAAGAACTTAGAAGCCATGACAATAACATCATCTCTTTGATCACCGATTCCCAAAGCATCTCTCAAATTCATAAGCTCATCTTTAGCTGCAAAAAAAAAAAAAAAAAGCAAAAAGATGAAGAGCGGAATGATATTTATCTACAAGCAAGGCTGGTGAAATCAAGTCAAAGGCATATATACTACCTATTCTGTTTCTCCTTTCACGTGAGCTTGACATCCCACTCTGAACACTCTTCACTATGTTACCAGAAGCTTGGCTCTGCAGGTACACAGAACCATTTGATGAGAATCAATTCTAGCTCTAAAGTAGAGGAGCGAGGTTAGAGTAAAACCTGTCCAGCTGCATTCTTAACGAATGTAACTTCAGTAGAAAAATTGAAATTCTCCAAAATCCTGCCACATAAATCACATGACCTGCAACATGAAATTCACAAGTGGAAAGGTTGAAACCCACAAATCCAACAGAAACTGAGCTTCTAAAAAGCAAACCATAAGATAACAACATCCATGAGTGAACACTTACAATGCACCATCATCGGGGCGTATTCCGGGAACGTTCTTCCCACAATGGTTACACCACACCATAGCTCCAAACTTGACTTATAATATGGATCCAAAACTCTCAGATTTGAGGGTTGAATCGATTCGAAACAAGAGCTTCCAATCTTACTGCTCAATAAAGAGAAGATCATTACATCGAGTTAACCAATTTTTTATTTATGAACCCAATTTCCATTAACCAAGCTGGTAAGGTGGAATTTCCATGAGAATTCCCAAAATCTTACCCTAAAGGAAGGAAGTTGTTAATTCTCACCATACAAGGTCAGAAAGTCGACGGCTTCAAGAAATCTGGCGAAGCAGAGGGTTATATACTAATAAGGGTTTTTGTTTTTTGGACGGTCTGGATTTGATCAATGACTGATAAGATATTACAGTTTCCTTTTTAAAGGCGGTGTTTTCGTCCACTTTGTTCCATACTCGAAGATCTCTCAGGCAGCCCAAGACCGCCTTCTTGTTTCGGGAAACAGATTATGCAGTCTCAAAAACAGAGGAACATCTAACAATTCCTGAAACAAAACAGAGCGAAACAGATACATCAAAATCGTATTCTTTTTACTTTCGATCTTTCATGGAGTTAAACGTTTTTCACCCAATCTTGATCACGCATGGGAGCAGACAATATCGGTCCACCCATGTTATATTTCTTCCCGCAGTGGCTGCGCCACAACCGGACCAATCTCGCTGGTAGATTAAACCGAAATAACCGGTTTTAAGATAGAAATAAACTGATTTTGAACGCTAACCACATAATAGATAGTTTCAAAGCGTAATACGTAGTCTCTACAGGTGCAAATAAATACCTTAGGGAGAGATCTTCCAACAGGTTGAAGATGAAAAGAATCACAACCAATGCATTGATTTTACATAAGAAAGCTTCAATGGTGTGTTCTGAAACAATTTTTCATTTAAAGCTTTCAGGTTAATTTCAGTGAATCAATAACAAAACATTCTAGCTACAAAATCTGTTTAGTGTTTCGATTAAACAAGAAAAAAATAAAATTACGTGTTTGATCCATTTTTATATATTAATAATGTGACAAAGACCTGAAATGTTAGACCTGAAAAAATCACGTGTTAAGATACTGTTTCGTATTGATTTTTTTTTAAAAAATTGCAGATTTGGTGGTGGTATTAAACCTTGTCCGAATTGCAAGGTCAGAATTAAGGGCACCCTCTGAGGTAAAATTGTTATATGATCAGTAAAGATTATATTAGGAGTATCCCGGTTAATTACAATTTGGTTTTTTTTTTTTGTCGTCTAGATTTATTATTTATTACAAATTATGAGAACTGTTACATAGACGATTCTACAACGGACAATTCCTTCCGACCCTTATTAGATTCACGACAGACGACACCTCCTTCACCTCCTTCTTCATGCTCTTGATGGACACTTCTCTTTCTGCGTAGAATCCTGGCGAACGGCTATAATTGTACATCGCTGGAGATCTCCTGCACACTTGCCTCCAATAATCTGCAAAATTATTAATAAATCGCATTATCTGGGACTCGAACCCCAGACCTCTGGGTGTAGAAGCATTAATTAACCCTTGGTCAACCAATGGACCAATGGGGCTTCCACAATTACAATTTGGTTTTATACTCTAATGTGAATTGTTTATAAATTTTCTTTTTTATATTTTATGCAGCTTCGCCGGGAGCACATTCACTTCATTTTAACACCTGACAAAGTGGAGAGAAAGATACGAAAATTACTCATGCGTTATTTAAAAATCGCCTTCAGGTAATCTTGCTCCATCACGTTTAGTAGACATACAATATAAAACCTCTATAAATTAATAATGTTGGGACTAGCAAATTTTATTAATTGAGAGAAGTATTAATTTATCGATAAATTAATAATTATTAATTTATAGAAAGATTTTACTAATTTTGTAATTTCTTAAAAACATTTCTATCTAAAAATAACTTTTTTCTTTATAACTAATATCTTTTAAAAACTAATTACAAGTAGAGAAGCAATTATTAAGTTTAAAAAAACAACAAAACTTTTTTTCCGAATAATAGAGTCATATTTATTAAAATTTTTACATATAATATTTTAAATATATATCATATTAATTCAAATATGACATATATAAATTTATATCATATATATATATATTGATTAGTTTATACAATTATTAATTTATGATATCGATGGGACCATATGTTTATATGAGATTTAAAAAAAAATTATTATCTTATTGATTTATCAATTTATGTCATATTTTACACTGGTCCCAACTCGGGACCGGAAAAATTTATTAATTTAGAGAGGTTATTAATTTATAGAATATTAATTTATAGAGGTTTTACTGTATGTGCTTTTATATTATTATTTATTTTTGGTTCGCAGATGAATGAGTTGTTTGACGTTATCAAGTTGATCAACATCCACTTTTGTTACAACCCGGACTCGAGGGCTCAGATGGCAGAAGATTTGGCTAGGGTGAGTGCTTCCCTTAGAGAAAACTCGCCTGTTACTTACTCAAAAACTTGATTACTGAATTGATATCAGTACACACCATGCGGCCAAATAGTGATACAATGATATGACTTTTGCTTTGAAACAGGCAATAGAACATTAAGTTGTTTCTTTTTTCTTTCAATTTTTGTTATTATGAAACCAGCTATTTGTCATTTCAGGAACATGGCGCATGAGACTCTTGCTCATATCCCCGTTCGTGCTATGTGGCAGAACGATGTTGTTGAGTTGTCTTCCAAGATCGTTACACCAAGCGATTTCATCACCGTTGAAGATTTTGCATTAAAGGTGTTAATGGAGTACATCTGGGATACGACAGAATCATGGAAGATCTCAAAAACTCGCTAGCTGAAGTCTATCAACGCATTGGAGTCTGTCAGGTTCTGTTCTCGGAATAAAAATGCTATTATTGTATCATAGACATTGAATTTGCACTAAAAGTGCTCAGACTGCTTCATCACTTATTCGATGTCTTGCATAGGGGAATCGCATTTGGAGTGTTTCAGGTGTAACATCGACGTGGCGCACCACAAAACCATTAAGGCAAGTATAAAATGTTTTCCATATGACTCTCGGATGAAGATAAATTTTATGATAACACTTTGTTTTATATTTGCAAGGTTTTGTCTGTTACCTTCATTGTAGTACATATCTTGGCCTTGAGAATCCAAGTGGGGCAGTTACACACACTTATGCTTGTGGGTCTTGCTTCAAGACATTTAGTCTCCGCTAATTGAAGTAATATTCATTCACACAATTAATGGAAAGAAAAAACTCAGCAAAAAAAATATTTGCTTCAATTTCTTTTTTTCTTTGTTCTTACATATGTTTTTGAGAGTTTATCCTTCTCTCATCCAAATTCATAATAGACATTACATATTTTGTTTAATATTAGCTTAATAGTGTTTATGTTCTTTATCAAAACTTTTAGTCAATTGTCAATCGTAGTAAATATACCAATATAATTAAATCTTATATAAGGAGTTATGTATTTGTTTACCACAAAAATGATGTTATTTATTTACCAAAAGTTTTTATAACAAGTTAATAAATTATTTTGAAATCAATTACCAAATTTTATTTATCATAAATAACATTTTTTTCCTTCTTGAATGCATTTATCTTTTAGATTAAAGTTTTACTCTTTTCGATGAAAAAAAAAAGTTTTACTCTTTTCATTTCATATTCACCTTTTTAATACTACTAAAATATTCAGTCACTGTAATTTTTTTTTTGATGAAAATATATTTACATTAAATTAAATGGGTCAAAAGTACTTACTGTATTACATACAATAAATAAGCCAACTTTAGTGGTTGGGCTTTAGACCCAATAAACATAAATTAAAAGAACTGTATAACGAAACCCACTAGAAATAAGAACCCAATTTGAACCCATAATGAAGACAACCCACCAAAGAATGAAGATCAAAGCAACGAAATCAATTTCAGCACCAAATCGACACATAGAACGCAGACCAATCTCGATATCGACGCATGTATCAAATTCATATACAAATTAATTCTTTTTTTTTTTGTTAAAAGGCTTTATACAAATTAATTCATGGGACCTTCCTTGACGTTTTTATCTTAAGATAAAATAAATAAAATTGATTTCAGTAAATCGTCATGACGAACCTGATTTACGCCAAGTTTTACGTTCATGCGATTATTTTCAAACACGTTAAGAACTTTTTAAATGTTTTCAACCGTGCGATTAAAATTCAACGACCAAGCAATCCACCTTTAACGGCTAACATTAGCGTACAAATATCGCTATCAATATAATTCCAAATTACCTTGATTTAGGGGGAAATAATAATTAATACGACACCGTATGATGCAGCCACATATAAACTAGGACTGGGCCGGATCCGGATATCCGGCTTTTTTAGGGTATCCGGATCCGGATCCGCCTTTTCATTATCCGGATCCGGATCCGTTCCACCCGGATATCCGTAAAAAGAGCCGGATATCCGGATCCGGGGTTTTTTATATAATTTTTTTTATTAATATAAAATTTCAAGAAAAATATTTAAAAACAAATAATTTAATATAAATAATTAAAAATATTATTAAAAAAATATTATTCTTATATAAAATAATAGAATTTAATAATAAAATTTAAATAATAGTAATAAAATATTAAAAAAAAATTATTATTATATAAAATATCCCGGATCCGGATATCCGGCTTTAAATTTTCTATTATCCGGATCCGGCCGGATCCGCTTTTTCATTATCCTGATCCGCCCCACCCGGATATCCTATTTTTCGGAGCGGATCCCGGATCGGATCCCGGATCCCGGATAATTGGTCTCACCCCTAATATAAACTATGGCTATAACTGTTAACGGTAACGTAGGAGGATCCACTTCGAAATAAAACAAAACTAAAAAAGGAAAGACTTCACGTTTCTTATACTACTTTTTAGACAAAGTAACACGTGGATTAATACAGTTGGGCAAATTATAGCCTTTCACGGGATTTGATCAATCTATAACTACTATATAAGTAGTCCTTATTAGCTACTGAATATTATCATTTATCACAATGGCAATTCTTATCGTCGAGCGATATTACATGATCGTGAACTTACTCTTTGCTCTAACTTGTCTCCTCTTAAACTTAACTCATTGCTTTAGCCCCAAGAAACTCAACATTTCAGCCGCCACGACCAGTGATGCTGATTGGTCTATCGCCGGAGCTACGTGGTATGGCAGCCCCACCGGATACGGAAGCGACGGTATATATATAAACATGTGTTATGTTATGTCAATTAATTACAGCTCTAGATAAAGAAGCAAGAAACTAGCTATATATATAATTATACTAACCACGATATATTGATTATAATGAAGGTGGAGCTTGTGGTTATGGAACTGCTGTTGCACAACCTCCGTTTTCGAGCATGGTATCAGCCGGAGGTGCGTCGTTGTTCAAGTCAGGGAAAGGGTGTGGCGCATGTTACCAGGTTACTAATTACAATAATTATGCACAAGAGATTGAAATTAAATGAAAGTTTGACTTATATACTGATGTAATTATGTACGTACATGTACAGATAAAATGCACTTCGAAATCGGCATGTTCGAAAAAACCGGTTACGGTAGTCATTACAGATGAATGTCCTGGATGCGTTACAGAGTCTGTCCATTTCGATTTGAGTGGTACAGCGTTTGGTGCGATGGCGATTTCTGGTGAAGATAGTCACTTCGGAATGCAGGAGTTTTGCAGATTCTTTATAGAAAGTATGTATCTAAGGATTTCACATTAATAAACATAACTACGACGTTACTAACTTATTATATACTAATTAGTAATTACTAAGGTTAGATTGTGTTTTTTTTCCTTGTAGAGTTGAGTGCAACTATATTGGCAAAACGGTGACGTTTCAAGTGGATAAAGGTTCAAACGCTTACTACTTTGCGGCTTTAGTTGAGTATGAAAACGTATATTTCTACAATATATATTTTTAATTTTGATATGTTAAAATATAATAATTTTTTAAAATATCTGATAGTTTAATAGAATTTCTAATTGCTAACAGTCAAAGCATAAAAGTCATACTTTTCCTGGTAGAAAGTAAATGGGAAAAATGTCATTAAAATCCCCAACTTATTCAAAACGTTGATTTAAATCCTCAACTCACGACGAAACGAAATAAATATCAAACTTATGTTGACTTTCCAAATAAATATTAAACTTATGTTGACTTTCCAAATAAACACCAAACTTTCATTGACTTGGCCATATTAGGCATGACGTTAAGTGAGTTAACAGACAATGTTAACGGGATTAATTTTCTGTTAACAAACCCGCTAATTAAAAATGACAGTATTGTTGAACTATAATCAAATCTCATCTAAGTCATATAACCTAAAGTCGTATTCATATAAGTTAGTTATTTACGTAAGAGTCACGAATGTACGTACGTATAGTTGTGTCTGTTCGTAAAGTTGTGTCTTTTCGATTAACACATGTACGTACACGTTGTTTCGTGTTGTATAAGTAGACCGAGTCAAACTCAATAACATCATTGTGTGTAATACATTTTATCTTATCAATAATGATCAAGTTTCTTCATACTCTATTTTTCATTTTGGTTTTGTTCTTCATACTCTGTTAAAACAGAGTTCGTTTGTTGATCAAAACACTAACAAGTATTCCTTCTAAACATAAAACGATGTTGTTTTGTCGTAACTGTTCAATAAAATCCCGAGTTTCAAATCATACTCTATTTAGGGTTAGGGATTTTGCTCGATTTGGGGATCTAAGATTGACTTTAGGGATTTAATTCAATCGTTACGACAAAACGACGTCGTTTTGTTGTTATATGAAACAATGTCGTTATCAATTAACATATATGTTAACAGAAAATTACCTCCGTTAACGAGATCTATTAACCCACTTAACGTCGTACCTAATATGGCCAGGTCAACGGAAATTTGATATTTATTTGGAAAGTCAACATAAGTTTGATATTTATTTGGAAAGTCAACATAAGTTTGATATTTATTTCGTTTTGTCATGAGTTGAAGATTTATTAACCCACTTAACGTCGTACCTAATATGGTCAGGTCAACGGAAGTTTGATATTTATTTGGAAAGTCAATGAAAGTTTGGTGTTTATTTGGAAAGTCAACATAAGTTTAATATTTATTTGGAAAGTCAACATAAGTTTGATATTTATTTCGTTTCGTTGTGAGTTGAGGATTTAAATCAACGCTTTTAATAAGTTGGGGATTTTAATGACATTTTTCTCGAAAGTAAATATATAATTCTTCTCTTTTTTCTAATTTGATACTACATTATTCTTTTTCTTACTTATAAATAATTTGTAATTACCTCATAACTCCAGGGTCATAAATATAAACAAAATCTTACGCCTCCCTTAAATCGTCCCCTCCAATCAAAAATTCAGATCACAGTAAGATTCCCAAAAATTCGAAAAAACGTCTCAGGCCATGACGTTACAGAGAGGTTTGCCTCTTCTCTTGCAACAGTACACGGCGTTGTTCAAGAAAAACCTTCTTCTTTCATGGCGAAGCAAACGAGCCACGTTTCTTCAGCTCTTCGCTTCTTTCTTCTTCATCCTCCTCATCTTCTGTATCCAAGAAGCTATGGAGAAGAGCTTTGCGTCTTCCACGGCGCTCAAAACTGTTACGGATCCGACGGCGTTGATTTCGCCGCCGATTCCGCCTTGCGAAGATAAGTTCTTCGTGAATCTTCCGTGCTATGACTTTGTTTGGAGCGGAAATCGTAGCCCCAAGGTGACTCAGATTGTTAATGCGATTATGAAGAATAATCCTGGAAGACCAATTCCTACCGAGAAGGTATTGTAATCTTGAAATTGTGTAATTAAGCATTCTTCAGGAGAAATTAGAGTAGTTTTTGATTGTTATGTTAATGGAATTTTAGTGATGTCATAGATATAGAGAACCAAATTGTTAGGTTACAGTTTTGAGAATTAAAGTGGAAGTTAAATATGCAAATTGTAATTTTGTTTGTTTGTTTGTCTGTTAAGGTACGATCATTCGTGGATCCTGAAGCGGTAGATACGTGGCTTATGGCGAACCCGTTGCTAGTTCCAGGAGCTTTGCACTTTGTGGAAAGAAATGCTACAGTAATTAGTTATGGTATTCAAACTAATTCAACACCAGAGATGAATAGAGGAAGATTTGAAGATCCCACTTTCAAGTTTCAGATACCGCTTCAAATTGCGGCTGAGCGTGAAATCGCGAGGTCTTTGATAGGAGGTGTGCATATCTTGATGAATTTTTATGTTTATGGTATCAAGTGTTTAGTTCTTGACATTGGGAAGTTGTTATTATGTTTTGCAGATCCTAACTTTAATTGGGTTGTTGGGTTTAAGGAGTTTCCGCACCCAACTATCGAAGCTATTGTTGCGTTGGACACTATAGGACCGACTTTTTTCCTTGCTGTTGCGATGTTTGGTTTTGTACTTCAGATTAGTTCTTTGATTACTGAGAAAGAGCTCAAACTTCGCCAGGTATAACGTTGTTTCTAGTTAGGCTGTTACCAATGTATATATAGTACATTGATCCTTTGTTTTGCAACAGGCAATGACGATGATGGGTGTTTTTGACACTGCTTATTGGTTGTCATGGCTTACATGGGAAGGAATTCTTACTGCCATCTCGGCGCTCTTGACCGTTCTCTTTGGAATGATGTTCCAGTTCGACTTTTTCTTGAAGAACAGTTTCCCTGTTGTCTTCCTACTTTTCATGCTTTTCCAGTTTAATCTGGTAAGACTAACCTTGAATACCTGTCGAAGGATTTCTGTTTTCGGCTTTCTTCGTAGATAGTGTGTTTTTACTTCTTTTGGCGCATAAGTCAAATTTTTAAGCTCATTGTTTGTGCTGCTAGATTGGACTAGCATTCATGTTATCAGCTTTTATCAGCAAATCATCGTCAGCAACAACTGTCGGCTTCTTTGTGTTTCTGGTTGGCTTTGTAACACAGGTGCCGTTCTCATGCAAAACAAATAGATGATATTGTTTCTTAGAATTATGAACTGTTACTAATCATAAATCTAACTGCAGCTTGCAACATCAACTGGGTTTCCCTATGCCAAGAAGTATTCTCGCATGATCAGGTCGCTTTGGTCACTGTTCCCGCCCAATACCTTTTCTCAGGGTCTAAAGCTGCTTGCTGATGCAACTTCAACTCCTCAAGATCCTGGTATTAGTTGGAGTAAGAGAGCAGAATGCGGACCCAACGAGGACACTGATTGTGTGATTACAATTGTACGTCAACTCTCAAAACAAATTCCATCTAATAACTGTGTGCAATCGTCTATCTGATCGTTACTTTTTGGTTTTGGCAGAATGATATCTACTTGTGGCTTCTTGGGACATTCTTTTTGTGGTTTGTTTTGGCTCTTTACTTTGACAATATTACTCCAAATGCGTCTGGTGTAAGGAAATCTATCTTTTACTTTCTAAAACCTGGTTACTGGACCGGTAAAGGTGGCAACCGAGTAGAAGGTACTTTCTCCTCAGTCTTGTTTCTGTATTCGTTAGTAATTTTTTTTGTCAAAATGTGATCCTAATTAAACGTTTCTACTCTGAACAGAAGGTGGAATTTGTAGTTGTACTGGTTCAGTCCCACCTGTGGATCACATTGCCCCAGATGACGAAGATGTCCTTGAAGAGGAAACTTTAGTTAAACAACATTCAATGGATGGTTTAGTTGATCCCAACATTGCAGTTCAAATACGTGGTCTTGCAAAGACTTATCCTGGGACGACGAATTTTGGATGCTGCAAATGCAAGAAAACTCCCCCTTTTCATGCTCTGAAGGTATTTCTTTTAAGAAAACATAACTGAAAAACTGACCTTTTTACGTTTGTTAATTGCAATTTAGCATGAAAAAGTCTGTTCTTTACCAACGATGTTCAACAAATGACAATCTTACCATTGATCTATCAATAGCTAGGACTTGGATGAAATTTTACTGATTATTTCTCCATGTGGTTTCTTCCGTGATATGTGTTACATTTATTCAGGGGTTGTGGATGAATATTGCCAAGGATCAGTTATTCTGTCTTCTTGGTCCCAATGGCGCAGGGAAAACAACTACTATCAATTGTTTGACAGGCTTATTTCCAGTTACTGGTGGTGATGGTAAGATGAAGCTTCCACTTTCGTTTTTTTCGTAGAAGGTAGATCTTAAGCATTTTCACCATACTAAAATCTCTCTGAATTGGCTTAAACAGCACTAATTTATGGAAATTCTATAAGAAGCTCTGTTGGTATGTCCAACATCCGTAAAATGATTGGAGTTTGTCCTCAGGTGGGCCATTTTTTTGGTTGCTATCTGCTTCTGGCATTTGCCTTAGTTACAGTCATTTGTTATGCTTTAAATGATTTTTGACATTCCCATTCCACAGTTTGATATTCTTTGGGATGCTTTGTCTGGTGAAGAACACCTCAAACTCTTTGCTAGCATCAAAGGGTTGCCACCTTCATCGATCAACTCGGTATGTCACCCTAATGGTGGAAATGAGTCTGTTGGTTACTTCAAATCAAGAATACTTTTCCTCTTTTGTCGCTTAAAATGTTTCTTTCCATCATACAGATGGTTGAGAAGTCACTAGCGGAGGTAAAACTGACAGAAGCAGGGAAAATCAGGGCAGGAAGTTACAGTGGAGGAATGAAGCGCCGACTCAGTGTTGCAGTTTCACTCATTGGTGATCCAAAGCTGGTCTTCCTGGACGAACCGGTTTGTTACTTTCTATATTCTATTTATGTTTATTTATCTAAGTTCCGCTTCCTTTACACATGCGTGCTTGCCATACACGGGTTGCAGACTACAGGCATGGATCCGATCACCAGGAGGCATGTGTGGGATATTATACAGGAAACCAAGAAAGGCCGTGCCATTATACTAACGACACATTCGATGGAGGAAGCTGATATATTAAGTGATCGGATAGGGATAATGGCTAAGGGTAGGCTCCGCTGCATTGGAACCTCGATCAGATTGAAATCCCGCTTTGGCACAGGTTTTATTGCTAACATCAGCTTTGTTGAAAGCAACAACCAAGAAAACAATGGCAATAACCACAATAGCGAAACTGGTGCTCTCGATTCACGAGAGCCAGTGAAGAAATTCTTTAAAGATGTGAGTCTGTTTTAGCAGCCTGTTAAAGTTCCCATTTTACAATGCAATTAAATTAATCTAATACCATATGACCTGTGATATTTTCTTGCAGCATCTCAAAGTCAAACCAATAGAGGAAAACAAGGCCTTCATGACTTTTGTTATACCACACGACAAAGAGAATCTTTTGACAGTAAGCATTTACACAATATACCATATATAGAGTTTACTACCTACTTATATAACTAAGTGTAAGTGATTTCACAACTTCTCTGTTTCTTTATTTTTTTAACAACGAAACAGGGCTTTTTCGCTGAGCTTCAAGACAGAGAAGAAGAATTTGGAATCTCAGATATCCAACTTGGTCTCGCAACTCTTGAAGAAGTCTTTTTGAACATAGCAAGAAAAGCTGAACTCGAAAGCGCTGCGGTTGATGGAACAATGGTCACTCTCGACCTAACATCTGGTTCCTCAGTTGAGGTAAATAACTTACATCTCATACATTCATATCTGTATATAGAGACTTCATATAACTCCTGAGCTGATCCGATCCAATCCAATCTACAGATACCGGTGGGGGCAAGATTTATTGGGATACCGGGAACAGAATCTGCAGAGAATCCACGAGGAATCATGGTGGAAGTGTATTGGCAACAAGACGAGTCAGGTTCATTGTGCATCTCAGGACACTCCACGGAGATGCCAGTTCCTGAAAATATTCCCGTGACAGATCCGGTGGCACCAAGACATGGCGGAGTAAACTTGTTGGGAAGGAGAGGACGAAGACAAGTTCAGGGGATTGTGATTGACCCTGAGTTTGCTAGCTTTGTTAGAAGCGGTTCCACATCTTCCCGACACTAATCATTGTGAAATGAAATCTAATGCGCCCGCCCGCACACACACACAGTTCTTAACTTACCGGACTAAGCTCTACAGGTTTTTCTGATTCGTTGTTGTAGTTTTATACGAAAAAATCACAGGAGTGTTTGTTTAAAATTGTGTTTTACGTAATTATGATGTAAATTAGAATGAAGTTTGTGATTAAAAACAAATATTTAACACTGCTATGTTCATTTCATAGTATGATTAAAGATCATAAATGAGTAAGTTCCAGTTCCACAAGGCTGGGAAGTTCCTCTATCCACTTAAGGTTCTATGTTTCAGCAACATTGACTTGTCAGGTAGATAGTGAATTATTGTCTTTTGATTTACAGAAACATATTTACATAAAACACTAATGTGTTGTGAGAAAGCAAAATTCTGGTGTAATCAACATAGAGCTAACAAACGACTTCTCTATATATGCATACAACCACGCTGTGACTGTAAATTTATCGGTCTTGATTCTTCCGGTCCCTGAAACATTTTCAAAGAACCAACATTGTGGAAGTTGTGTATGATAAAAAAAAAAAACGTTTTGAAAATATGTGTCTACGATACTATGTACCTTTTGTCCGAAAGATTTGATGATTTGAACCAATAATGTATCTCCGGCTATAGTCCTCAGTCGTTGAATCAACTCAAACCGCGAGATTCTCCTTTCCTGTGAGTGGCAAAGGAACCAACAATGAGAATGTTGTGATGAGGATGAAAAACAGAGAGCCAAGAAAGTGGACTTACTTGATATTCTTTATAGTGTTTCTGAATGAGACGGATTTGCGACGGGTTTAGAAACTTCGATATCGATTTGATCAGTACCGGAAACAAAATCCACGGCGATTTTGGGTTCTCTACATAGAAAAAAAAAAACATACCAAATCAGCAAGTGAACAACTTGTGAATTAAAGAAGAGAGGAACAAACATTTTTGTGTGCTTACTACTTCTCGAGATAGATGGAGTTTTGATGCAAACAACAAACTCAGGCAAAACATGAGTGTTCATGTGTGTGCTCCAAATCATATACTTCTTCGGAGATGTTAAACTGTCTACACCTGAATCAAACTCTGGAGAACTCGGATACGATTGTGCGGTCGAGCCAACAATCTCTGATTTTCCCATAATAATTCTTGAAAACAACAAAAATCTAGTCCCATCTTCGTTACAAGATGATGAAGGATCTATCATACTATACAAAAAAGGAAAACATTAACGATGAGACTCATTGAGCAAAATGAAAAAAATATGTAATAAGTGTTTTGTTGTTGTTTACCATTGAAGAGGAGCATTGTCTGGTGAGAGACATAAGCCATTGTTGTTCCTAAACTGGCTAAATCCGTACATTAGAATCGCTTTTAACTCTTCCTTCTCCACACCGCAACAACCGTATTTCACTCTCGCTGCTGCTGTCGCAGCAGCTTTGTTTCCACCGCATTCGCAGTAACTTCCGCTTTTCTTTGCCACAGACTCAGTGTATATCTGAAAGGCTTTAAGCTTAGCTTGTCCTAATGGGGTTTTAAATTCGTTCTTGAGAATCGATACAATCTTAAACTGATTGCCTAAGTGAGAAGTTAGCTTAGAATGGCAATGACCATAGATTAGCTTGTAAACTTTATCGTCATTAGGCAACTCCATTAGCCCAAGCTCGTTGGCTATGGAAGAATGTTGCTGATCACAATCAGAGACCTCTTCATTGCTTCTGCTTTCAGATGAATTTGTTGATCCTTGTTGTTCTTCGTAATGGTTTATCGGTGTTTCTTTGGTTTTTGTATAATCCATTGCTGAGAAACAAAAGGAAACACAGAATTAGACTCAAAATCAAGAATTCGTTAAGAAACCAAGAGTATAGACAGAATCGAAACCTTTTTGAAGACTTTAGATAAATGATGATTTATAGATTTAGTGTAGTTTTTGAGATGAGAGAGCACAAATATTTTTAAATTGCAGAGAGACTAATCATATATATATGAATAGTTACGAAAATACAGTTTAAGGAAAAGTTTTTTCTTACTCTGTGTACTTGTTTAAGTCTTCCTGTTTTGGGTTTTGTTGTCTGTTTTCGCTTTTTTTATTCTTTCTATTTAGATATTTTTAGTGTCTTGTCTTTTCCTTTTGCCGTGAATGAGAAGTATCCACATTCACACGAATACACGATTACATTAATCCCACCCTCTTTTTTAGTCACGATTACATTAATCCCCACTTAATTAACAAAACTATGAACTTGTAAATATCATACATGATCAAATTTGCAACAAATACATTAATGAACAGTACCTTGAAATTTTTAGCCTTTTTATTCAAGCAAAACTTCTAATATTGTGGACAAAAATATTAGAACCCATTGTATGGTTGGTATGACTTTTGAAACCGCTTATTCCGATGTAATCAAGATGTTAGAAAATTCCGTGGATTGACTGGCTTTCCCACATCAGCTTGTGGAGTTTCTTGTAATTAACATGCAATTTATTATTTTTAGTTACATTTTATCTCACATTTTTTTTTCAAACCGCGAGAATTTCAGGCTTTGAAACCATATATAATCTGTTTCGAGATTCAAAACCAGCTTTGGTCCATTTTAATTTAAAGAATGTCTCTCTATCTCAAAAAAAATTTGAATACAGAACACAAAAATATCTACTCTTTTGTACCACCACTAATCAACCACCCTTTTAATACATTTTATCTCAAGTACATGAGCATCTCCAATGGTTTTAACCCCATGAAGGGTTCTCAGAATTTTTTAAGTATAAATTTAGCCTTTCTCAAATTTAAGTACTAGCATAGGAGCTTTTAAGTTTTGTGTCCTCCAATGGTTAGAACCACCCATGGGGTTCTTTAGAAAAAAATTCAAATTTTGCAAAACAATACATGGTTCTTCTCTTTTGTGTTCTTGTACAAGTCCCATATCTGGTAAACATCATCTCTCTCCCTGCTTCACCATATAGCTTTATGAGTCTCTCGTAGGACTTTGGATCATTCAATTCCTCTGTTTTACGAAGCATCTCTCTCGCCTTTCCCTTAGAACTATCTCTTAGATAAGCCTTTGCAATGTCAAGCATTGTGAGCCACTCAAACGTTGTAATTGCATTCCAGAATCAACTCAACATCAACAACGCTCGTCTTTAGCTAGAATCACCCAAAAAAAATATGATGAACACACTTACACAATCTCTGATACCAACTACGAAGTAAGGACATTAACCAATCCAAAGCATCATTTTTTTGGAACCAGTCATGATTAGAGACGCCAATCGTTGTAAGCATGACAATGCCCCCACAAAGCTTAAGTAACAACCCACAAAGGGCCTCCCACAATATGAAACCAAACAATCCCACATCATTCATACATGAAAAGCTACACTCTTTTTATAAACAATCAAATTGATATGAATACTCTCCATAAAATTAGACATTTCTAAGAACTGATTCGATACCCAACTTCCAATTATACACGAAATTGAACGTCTAATTGGCGATAAATCTAGACGAATGAAACAAAAATTTCAACAGGAACAAAATGAAATCAAAAACGAATTGGATCGACTCGATAGCTGAAACTAGAACAGGATCGAGAAGAAGGGGGCCAAATAGGGGAGAAGCAAGAATCGAACCTCATCATTCATACATGAAAGAAAAGCATAATCATACATGAGGACCAAACATAAAAATTCACAATCCCCATCGCATTCTAGGAGTATCTACCACAAGGAACAGACAATTCACCACAACGTAATCAAAGTTCTTTAGATGTCTAACCTCTTCACGAACTTGACGAAGCTTGTTGATCACTGCGTCTATGCAAACTCCGCTCGGACCACTGATAACGATGACGATCTCATTCGGCGGTGGGATAATTGGATCGGCGGTGGAAGAAGAACCCAATTGAAATTCGAGGGAACGAAGCGATGGTTTGGTGGGAGATTGAATTGGGGACAAAACAGGTAGAATTGGGTCTTCGATTTGGTAAAACGTCGAGAGAGACGACAGAGAGCCGGTTCCCAAAACTCTCTCCAGAGAGCCAGTTCTCCTTATAATTTTGGGTTTTGATTTATTTTTAATCACTTTAATTAAGAGAACCCTATGAAATTATCAAGAGAACCTCCCATTGGAGGTGCTCTTAGTATATGGAAACGTGAGAAGTTTTGAATTTTAATATTTGTCTCCATTAGCTTTTTCTTCAATTGTGACATTGACGTGAAAATTTTGGATTCCCTCCTCTTACATTTTTATAGTCAACAAGTCAAAAATATGTATATTTAATTTAGTTAAAGCTGTTAATTATGTATTGAATGAGAAAGAATACTAAGAAGTTACTATTGAAATGATTAAAAGAGAAAATGAAAACAAATGCAATAGAATTAAGATTGTAAATTGATGTTGTTTGTGAGGTCAAAATAGTCAATTTATAAAACTTCTTTTTTTTTTTTTTTTTTTTTGATAAACCCTATCGGCTATCCGGTCGGCCCCGGTAGGAACGCACCGAGGTGCTACATAGTGGACTGGTCCACCGTGTTAACGGCTAGGCCCTTCGGGCTACCACTCTGCCTATCCCGAGTTTGGAATGCCTTCCGACTAAGTGTCAGGGGTAGTCAGGCCGCCTGCATTTCTGACTACCAGGTAAACTAATTGGACCAAAGTCCAACTGACAGACTTCCCACAATAATGTTGATAACAGCAGGAGGGAGGAATTGAACCATGGGAGGAGGGAGTTGCACCCATCCACCTTGGGCCCATCAACCACCAGCCCACCATCATGAGGGCTTATAAAACTTCTTAATGTACGTAAAATAATCTAGAATGACAAAAGGGAGTATGTTTTTTTTTTTGGTAAGAACAAAAGGGAGTATGTTAATCAGTAAATAAAGCTGTAAAGATCCGTTTATCAATTAAGCTAGTAAAAAGTTAAAACATTACTACAACATAGTAATTGTTTGTGCATGAGAAGCCTGAAAAGGCTTTTTTTTATCTCTGCGTGCGGGGCTAGCTGTTTTTTTGTGGGAAAGTGCAAGGCCGGTAGTTTTACGTAGAGGTGGATTGGAACATGAAATGACCAAATTGCCCCTTTGTTACATAGATAAACTTTGCCATTGAATGGTTTTCCTTGTTACCACCAAATGGAAACCGTGGCGGTGTTACATGGCCTCAGCAAAGTCTTTTTTTTTTTTAGCCTCATCAAATTATGTCCCTTTATAAATTAAAAAATAAAAATAAAACAATAATTGACAATTAGCGAATTCACTAGCGGTTTGAGGATATATTTAACAATCAACTTTGATTGCAGTGGTAAAAGGATGTCATCTTTTTATCCGCTATCTTTCACATCTATGATCTATCTAAAAAAAAAACAATTATTGATCATAGTTTTTTTTTTTTTCCGCCTATAGATCATAGTTAATACTGTTTATTTTAACTACTAAAACAATACTGTTAGAATAGTATATCACACTCGAATTAATACATTGCTCTTCTCAGACGTCATTCAGAATTAAAAAGATTTCCCAGTAAAATGTGCTGGATTTGGTGCAACTCTTGGAATGCCAAGAATCTAACAAATACTTAAAGCCCAGATATATACCAAGTGTTTTTACAGATTGAAATGTATTTATTTCATTGGCTAATAGAGTAATAGCCCAATTATAATGGATGGGCTTTTTCATTTTATCTTGACACCATTAATTTGGTTACATAACTCAAAATTTTGAGAAAAACGCTCTCAGGCTCTAATATCGAGGAAGCTAACCTAACCTTGCTTCTCGACGCCGGTGAAGCTTCGGCTCGCCGGCGTCGGGATTTGTCTCTTCCTGCTCGCAACTTCTGCAACCTTTATTCAGTTTTACGTTTATTTTGGCCCCTGTCTCAATCATTTGAAACTTTTGTTCTCTTGGCAAGCTTCGAAGACGGCTCAATCGACAGTGACAGAGGACGAAGAAGAGGTCCGGCGACTCCTATCTCTTTCCTCCCTCTGTCCACACCCTTTCCGGCGAAGCTGCTTCAACCATATATGTCAGAATTCTTCCGATCTGGATCAAATTTAACATCTGTAAGAACTTACCTCCTCTGGACTTCGTTGATGGCAAGAGTGTTTACTCTTGGACCGTCAGTTGCACCACGTTCAGGGGAGTCGTCGACGGTGCACGGCGCAGCCTTTTTCTGGGTGGAGAGCTTTTACATGGTCAAATTTGAGACCCTTGTCTTCATCCTCTCAGCTCTTGTTTCTGAGGGTTTTAAAACCCTGGAGCTGTCTTCTTTTCCGGCGACGATGAACCCATCTCCGACCTTTGATTCGTCGCAGCGCAGCCGCCAACCATCGCCCATCTCTCGAATCTGCAAAAGGAAGCTAGGTTTACAGCGTATGGGCTTGTTCCTTTGTTGTGGCCCATTAGCATTGGTTAGGCCCAATTTCGATTTGAGAGAATCTCAAATTGGGCTTGGCGAAACCCTAACCTCTCTTGAGATGAATCTTAATGGGCTTGGCCAACTTTCTCACGTGCAGAACTTATACCCTCCGTTTCCTCCAGAGAAAGATTTCACTTTCGTCTATGGCCAATCACTCTCCCCAGCTTCGCACAGGTCTGATCATTTCTCTATGTGTTCTCAATTATTTGATTGGATTTCTCGATTCATTGTGCTGCTTGACTTGGGACATCAATGTAGTTTTGAATCGTTAATTCTAGTTAGATATTGTGTTCAATTGTCTCGAATCCTATTTGCAAGCTCATCTCGGCTTTGGTCCGAAGAACTTTTTGACGCGAAGGTTATCAATTCAACAATCCCAACTTCCTTTCGTTTGGGATGGGACCATTACTACCGGCTGAAATGTTTCGAATGCTATATGCCGGATTGTACCTTCTGTGATCCCAAGGTAACACTAATTTTAGTAGCCTTCTCCTCTTCTAAGCTGCAGTTTCAGCTCCCCCAATCCACTTCCTCAAGGGAACCCAAGCTTCAAAGCAACGCATCATCTCCATACCTATCTGACCTTGAAAGGAAAAGATTGAAGAAGAACGGCATTATGACCCTGTCTCTAATGAGCGGTGGTTACCGACGCTTCTTCAATCTTTTCTCCACCTTTCCTCTGTTTACTGGAATCAAGCAAGTTCGAATCAACAACATTAAGATTAGTATTCAAGATTTCAAAAGTTTGAGGAAGCGCGGCATTATGATCCCGTCTCCATGGAGCGGTGATTACCGAAGCTTCCTCAAATTTATTTTTCCAAACCCACCCGACCTTAGACCCGCAGCCACCCATCTCATTGCTGATGAGCAACTCCAGCTCGTTCTTCTCGTGCCGGCGAGAACCTCGGTTATGAAACCCTTTTCAACGTCACCTCGTCTATTGACAGTGACCACTTTTTCGTCCATCGATTCGCTCGTGGAAGATCATTCGACTAACCGTGACCTCACATGTGCCAGAACGCTTAATAGTTTTGGTCTCAAAGCTCTCATGGAATCATTGTCGTTTCACCTTATCTATCTTGTTTTGGCATTGGGGAATGCCTCCTTTACTTATGTTTTAAACTATGTGATCTTTGAATCACTCTCCCTTGTACTTGGTTTGATTTGAATGAATGAAAACAAGTCTTTGTCCAAAAAAAAAAAAAAAAATCTTGACACCATCATGAAGGTTTCTAACTTTTCAGTCATTCACATTAAACCAAAAAATAATTTTTTTTCTCAACCAATTTTTTTTTTTTAACTCATTAGTTAGGGGGAAGTTCATATTAATATAGACGTACGTAGTCAAAGAGGTACCTAATTTGTTGTCAAAATACCTTCTTTTTTTTTTGTTGATAACACATAATATTTGTTTTAGCTCTCTCAATTATATGGTTCTTGAATTATATGTAGATTTAAAATCTCTAGAAACTATTAAAATTATATCAGTGTTGTGATTAAATATGCTTTTTTGGAAAGTGTACGTGGAAAGATTAAAACTTTAATTCATCGTTTTTTTTTTTCTTGCCGACTATTTTTTTTTAATTACTTTATATTTACCATAGGTCCATATCAAATTTAAATTTAGTAAAAAGATGGTTTTCCTATATATTCTTTGCTTTGGAAACACGACTGCACGACCTAGGGACATAGATTGTATATTTTTGATTACGATGAAAATAAAAATAGTTTACATGTTCTGAGAACAATTTTTGCTATGTGACGTACTAAAGAACATGACTGGGTTCTCTCTCACCTTATTAGTGTCCTCTGCAAAAAACATGCGCAAGTCTCCCATGTAAGAAAGGCTGCATATTTTGGCATATAGATCTTCCTGCGCAAGAGTTCTGTGTGTTATAGTGTACAGTCTAGTGAAACTTCAAGATTTCTGAGTAGTAAACAGAAAACAAACCTCGGTGAATTTTGATGGTAAGAGAAGAAGAGCTGCAGATATTGCAGCTCTCTTATTAACAGAATTCACATCCTCTATGTCCAGATTATCAACAAGCATATGAACCTGCAACCAAAGGCACTTTTCTAAAACATCTCATGTACCACAGTTATTAGTAAAAACACCAACTGACATACCGGTTTCTGTAAACGGCCACTCAAGTAGAATCTATTCCAGTCTAGTATGTCCTGTACTAGGTCATGCATCCGAACAACCCCATACTTGAGCTTCTGCAAAGAGCTTCACAAAGAAAGTAAATCATGCAAGAAAAATGGCTTAAGATTACATACAACGCGATCATTATCAAACTTAGATTGTTCACTAGGTTTTAAAAAACTCTACAGTTCCTGGGAAGTTCTTACCCTGTCGTTCCAGTTGACAAACGGATTGAAGTGAACTCCAACTCCTACTTTATCGGCAACATTCGTAATCTAACGTCGGATAAAAAGAACAGTATGTTCAGTATTTGATTAAGCCGTATAAGCACTGCAAGAGTATGGAATACAGAGAGTAATAATATACCAGTCTGGCTCCACCAAGGTGAACCATCCACGAAGCATAGTGATCTGAATTCATTTTCAGATTCTTGACCACACATTAAAAAATTGGAATTAGGATCCATGGGCTTAAATAAATAGCTCCTGCTATAACAATTATAATCAAAAGATATTGCTCACCAGAGAGTGCCATTTCATAGGATCAGAGACTCCAAGGATATAGTCCACCATTTTAGACTACACAAAGCAAAGGTCACATTTTTACACTCAATTTAGCAAACTGATTCAGAAACAGGAATACGCTCATCAAGGAGAAGACAAAGACCTTATCTTGGTTATTTGGATGCAATGTGGAACCATAAACACAACAGAAATCCACAGGAGGAAGAACACTTAAGAAGCTCGAAAGCTCCTCTCTTTGAGTAGTTTCCATTACCAAAAAAGTACCCTTTTACTAAATGTATACGTATTTCCCTTGAAGTTCCAGAATTCACCAGGGCAAAAATCTATTCAAATGAAGCGATCAATTTAGATTTCGAGTAATCGAAGTAAAGTTTCTACAATTAGGTTTATGAATCATTGTGCTTTGAGATTGACACAAACCATGGAAAAAGAGAGAAAGAGGAGGAATTCGAAAGTGTTATTGATTTAAGAGGACAATTGAAGAAGCTTTACCTGCGACTGCGAGTGAAGGCGGCGCAGAGAGAGGAAGAAGAACAAACGCCGTGAAGCTTTTTTTGGGTTGGGCCAAAAAGATTAGTTTCTAACCAATGTTTTTCCGGACCCGGACCGGTAAACCCATGATCCGTTTATTTATTTGGTCCCGGTCTAGCTTCAAAATCCTGGTACTAACGAACCGGGAAAATCCTGGTAAACCCGAGAATAACCGATGACCTTAACCATCTTTTTTTTTTATTATAGAATGTTAAATTTATTCAAATTTTTTTAACATCAAATGCGTCGATTGTTTAAATGTTTTCAGAATTTAAATTTCAAAGAGAAACCAAAGATGATGAGAGCTTCGTTCTTATCTTGATACGAACTAAATCGTCGTATATAACTGTCATATCTTCTATTTCTTTGCTCTCTTATAGAAGATGTCGTGCTTCAAACTTGTTTATCTAGTTATTGGACCAATTGAGTTGAGGAAGTTGAACCGTTTTTTATAGAAAAAACGGAATAGTAGAAAGTATGGAGAAGCTCCAACTTCCTCAACTCAATTGGTCCAATAACTAGATAAACAAGTTTGAAGCACGACATCTTCTATAAGAGAGCAAAGAAATAGAAGATATGACAGTTATATACGACGATTTAGTTCGCATCAAGATAAGAACGAAGCTCTCATCATCTTTGGTTTCTCTTTGAAATTTAAATTCTGAAAACATTTAAACAATCGACGCATTTGATGTTAAAAAAATTTGAATAAATTTAACATTCTATAATAAAAAAAAAAGATGGTTAAGGTCATCGGTTATTCTCGGGTTTACCAGGATTTTCCCGGTTCGTTAGTACCAGGATTTTGAAGCTAGACCGGGACCAAATAAATAAACGGATCATGGGTTTACCGGTCCGGGTCCGAAAAAACATTGGTTAGAAACTAATCTTTTTGGCCCAACCCAAAAAAAGCTTCACGGCGTTTGTTCTTCTTCCTCTCTCTGCGCCGCCTTCACTCGCAGTCGCAGGTAAAGCTTCTTCAATTGTCCTCTTAAATCAATAACACTTTCGAATTCCTCCTCTTTCTCTCTTTTTCCATGGTTTGTGTCAATCTCAAAGCACAATGATTCATAAACCTAATTGTAGAAACTTTACTTCGATTACTCGAAATCTAAATTGATCGCTTCATTTGAATAGATTTTTGCCCTGGTGAATTCTGGAACTTCAAGGGAAATACGTATACATTTAGTAAAAGGGTACTTTTTTGGTAATGGAAACTACTCAAAGAGAGGAGCTTTCGAGCTTCTTAAGTGTTCTTCCTCCTGTGGATTTCTGTTGTGTTTATGGTTCCACATTGCATCCAAATAACCAAGATAAGGTCTTTGTCTTCTCCTTGATGAGCGTATTCCTGTTTCTGAATCAGTTTGCTAAATTGAGTGTAAAAATGTGACCTTTGCTTTGTGTAGTCTAAAATGGTGGACTATATCCTTGGAGTCTCTGATCCTATGAAATGGCACTCTCTGGTGAGCAATATCTTTTGATTATAATTGTTATAGCAGGAGCTATTTATTTAAGCCCATGGATCCTAATTCCAATTTTTTAATGTGTGGTCAAGAATCTGAAAATGAATTCAGATCACTATGCTTCGTGGATGGTTCACCTTGGTGGAGCCAGACTGGTATATTATTACTCTCTGTATTCCATACTCTTGCAGTGCTTATACGGCTTAATCAAATACTGAACATACTGTTCTTTTTATCCGACGTTAGATTACGAATGTTGCCGATAAAGTAGGAGTTGGAGTTCACTTCAATCCGTTTGTCAACTGGAACGACAGGGTAAGAACTTCCCAGGAACTGTAGAGTTTTTTAAAACCTAGTGAACAATCTAAGTTTGATAATGATCGCGTTGTATGTAATCTTAAGCCATTTTTCTTGCATGATTTACTTTCTTTGTGAAGCTCTTTGCAGAAGCTCAAGTATGGGGTTGTTCGGATGCATGACCTAGTACAGGACATACTAGACTGGAATAGATTCTACTTGAGTGGCCGTTTACAGAAACCGGTATGTCAGTTGGTGTTTTTACTAATAACTGTGGTACATGAGATGTTTTAGAAAAGTGCCTTTGGTTGCAGGTTCATATGCTTGTTGATAATCTGGACATAGAGGATGTGAATTCTGTTAATAAGAGAGCTGCAATATCTGCAGCTCTTCTTCTCTTACCATCAAAATTCACCGAGGTTTGTTTTCTGTTTACTACTCAGAAATCTTGAAGTTTCACTAGACTGTACACTATAACACACAGAACTCTTGCGCAGGAAGATCTATATGCCAAAATATGCAGCCTTTCTTACATGGGAGACTTGCGCATGTTTTTTGCAGAGGACACTAATAAGGTGAGAGAGAACCCAGTCATGTTCTTTAGTACGTCACATAGCAAAAATTGTTCTCAGAACATGTAAACTATTTTTATTTTCATCGTAATCAAAAATATACAATCTATGTCCCTAGGTCGTGCAGTCGTGTTTCCAAAGCAAAGAATATATAGGAAAACCATCTTTTTACTAAATTTAAATTTGATATGGACCTATGGTATATATAAAGTAATTAAAAAAAAATAGTCGGCAAGAAAAAAAAAAAACGATGAATTAAAGTTTTAATCTTTCCACGTACACTTTCCAAAAAAGCATATTTAATCACAACACTGATATAATTTTAATAGTTTCTAGAGATTTTAAATCTACATATAATTCAAGAACCATATAATTGAGAGAGCTAAAACAAATATTATGTGTTATCAACAAAAAAAAAAAAGAAGGTATTTTGACAACAAATTAGGTACCTCTTTGACTACGTACGTCTATATTAATAAAAACGCACTATAGAATCCAATACAATCCATCAAGCATGAAACGTTTCAAGCTATCTTCACAAAGATCCACCTTAACATTGGTAACAAACATCCACATAAATCTAAACAACACATCATCTTATAAACAATTACATACAATGCATTGAATGCATTGAATTCTACAATCCACCAACAGTATAATCTCCACACACATCCAATCCACATAAATCTAAACAATTACAATGCATTGGAGGTTTCAAACCAATTAACATCTTTATCAAATTCTACTTTCTCGGAGGTTCTATAGAAAAGAGTTACAAGAGAAGAAGAAATAGCTAATCACTGAAACAAAAACTCACCAGATTCACATAGCCTATAAGCATTAGAAACACGAAATCAAACAAAGCCACAACACTCGTCTCCATTGGTACACATAAACTCAATACAAAATCATGAATTAGAGATATATCATACCTCTCAAACAGTGGTTGCAGCGATTTCAATCCGTAACACCTGAAACCCACTTCGAGATTTCAATGACTAAAGGAGAAATCAAATCCAATAATCAAACCCATGAGTCTTACCTCTCAAACAATGGTCGCAGCTAATTCAAACCCACGCACGAGAGAGAAGAAGACAGCCGGCGGAGAGATCAAAGACGAGTGGAGTGGAGTGAGAAGATCAAAGAGGAGTGGATTCCGGCGAGAGATCCGGCGGAGAGATCCAGCTGCGAAGAGATCCGTCGAAGATCTCGTTTCTCTTCTCACTTTGTCGAAGGATGGCTCTCTGAGTCTTTGTCGTGGTTAGAATGATGAGAATTGAGAAGTAGGTTTAGGTTTTTTGGTGTAATTCTCCAACTTAGATAGGGGTATTTAGGTCATTTTATATTTTAGACTGAATCAGCTCCAGTCAACTGCTCCAATCAGACTCAGTCGGAAAATGATCATTTTTTGGATGAGTTTAATAAAAATCATCCAACTGGTTCATCTCACTGCTCTGTAAAATTGTTATAAACGAACATCATAACTCATCTCCATTCAGATGGATCATCTGAATGGAGTAACGAACAGCACCAGATTGTATATTTTTGATTACGATGAAAATTCAACTGCGGACTGCCGACTAATACATAGTTTTCCTACTTGGTTTAATTATTATTCGAATCAAACAAACATACATGAAAACTATTTTTAAAATATTTTCATTTAACAAAGCATGTACTATATTTGTGATTTACTTTTATCTGGACAGATAATGGACAATTATTTTTGTTCAAGAACATTAGATTTATAAGAAAATTAAATCATAAATCGTGCATCGGTGCATGTGATACCTTGTATCAGCCAATGCATACATGTACTCTACCTGAGGCTAGCTCTGTCTTGTAACGAAATCTAAATTTTCATAGCCAGTACTGTTTCAAATAATATATACTTTGAATAAATTTCTAACTCTTAATTAATACCTAAAAACAGACTATTAAATGTATATGGCTTTAATAATTTATCAACTTTCCAGTTTATTTCAAAACTTTATGAGCATCTTTTTTTCCAAATATTTAAGCAGACATTAAACATGAGCTTTAATTACTTGTTAGCTACAGAATTAGTATAGATACAGTATGTTATTTAGATATTCTCATGACAAAAAGGACAATAATTCTGACAAACTCGTTTGCCTTAAATAATTTGAACGTAAATCCAAACCACTTGCTTCGTTTAACAACTGACAAAACAAAACCCTAAATAAAATAAACATTACATAACAGATCTAGAACACAAACGCCAGAATGATCAACATTTTAAATACAGTAAGAAAGGGAATTAAAAATAAGAAAAAGGCTTTTTTGTAATAAAAAATAAAATTTTAATTTATTACACTAATTCTACTGCATAAGCAAACTTCGGATGAGTGCAGCTTGAGCTGAATCAGTTGATTCCAAAAGTTGCGACAACCTTTCACTCAGATCATCCACTTCTTTGCTCAAGTTCCTTATGTAACTACATGTCTCTTGCAATACCCTCGATGCTGAAACCTGAAAATGTATCCAAAATGTGTTATGTCGATAAGAAGAAGTATAATAAACTTTACAAAACCTTGTGGAATCATGCTATTTATTGTCTCTAAGTTTTGAAATAATTAAAAACTCCGTATTCCAAATTGAATCATGCATAATCAAATGAATCAATATATATGCAATCTATGGAAGATTAAATATCTACAAAAAATAAGGTAGAAATCATCATGATATTTTAGTTTTAATATATGTGTGGTTTAAATCATTTTTCTAGTTCAAAAGTTTATAGTATATTCGCTTTCTTGTAACATTCTATATATAATTAAAACACCAAGACTTTAAATTTTATTTTATAATTCTAACTAAAGGCTCTACTCTCTAGTTTGATTGCAAGATTAGTGAGATGCTAGCAAATTAAATTAGTGTTCTTTTTAGTTTGGTCGAGGATAAAAAAAAAAATCATAAATGATGAAAAAATATTGTATTTAAATGAAGAATTGATTAGACCACTATACCTTTCCAGAGCGTCTGTTGTTACCAAGTTCGGGAAGAAGACGATGAAGCTGAAGGACAAGATCGTTGATTTGTTCTTCGGTGATCATGGGAACTCCGGTTTGTCTTGACCGTGATTTTCGGTTAGACATTATGTAATATGATATGGTAAAGTATAGCTAGAGAGATTTAGTAAATCGTAGGGTTTCTTAACTTTGATCAATATAGATATGTGATCAGTGTAAGTCTTTTGTTTGTATGTTATTTTATAATATAAGAGTGAGAGCAAGAGAAAGATATATGAAGGAAAAATATAGAAGTGGAGGGAGGACTGCAACTGCATAGAATAAAGATGAATGGTTTCAACTTGTGTTTATATAGAATTTTCCATCCGTTTTGGCTCCACTGAATAAAATATAAAAAACTTAGTATAAGTTTCTTGTAACATGTTTCCTAAATATATATTAAATGGTAATATATCTTCAAGTATAGTTAAATTGTTCAGTGAACAGATTAAAAGTATATCGTGATCAACATTAATGTTTGCTTTGAAAGGATGGTGAGCTTTTTGACTTAAGTCTCGAAGATCGAGTGTTTGTTTAAAAATTTACTGAAGACTACGCCATTGTTCTGTAGAAAAACACCCTAATCACATGTATGCACAAAAATTGCTATTAGTTTAATGTAATTTTGTGAATATATTTTTGCAGCAAAAAAAACCGGTATTTATTTGTTTTTGTTTTTCTTTTATAATTCAGGTGATATTAAAAGCTTTATAGGTCCAAAAACTAATCATGAAGCCCGAGAAAATCATGTTAGAATTCGAACATCGGTGGCCAATGCTACTTGAACCTAGATTTTGAAAAATATTGTTAATATTAGTGAGGAACAAATTTCCGTTTCATCCTTACTAAAATTAAAGCATTAACTTTCAATTTTTATTTCCGCGTTTGTATTCTAGTTTTCATATTTCTCTATGTTTCACTATATAGGGAACAGATTAAAGTTCGGAACAAAAGTAATCCTATGACATTTTAGTATATATTATCTAAAAGGTGATACTTGATTATAGTAGGAGGATTCCTCTCTCTTTTTTTGGTCACGTCACGAGTATATATAGGAGGATATTAATAGACAATATGAGAATATTCATCGATATATATTTGGGAAATTAATAGACAATATGAGGAATATGCATCGATATACATTTGGGAAATTAATAGACAATGGGAATATGCATGGTACTGAATTATTAACTTGACCATAATCTCACGTACTTATCGGCAAACTTGCATAGTTTCAGCTGGAATTAGTAATGATAAAAAAACCTTGGTACCTATTTTGCAAATATATAGTTGTTAATTGTTAACATAATGTATTGTCGGCTTTAAACACAGATGGTGTCGGTCCAAAGTTTCAAAATTTTCTTTGATGTCTTACGCATAACTAAAAATTTAGGCCTTTTTGTTAATGTAAAAAAAAATTCTCCCAAAAAAAAATATTTAATAATGTGAGACCCTAAGAGATGACTTCACTTGTTTGCCTTCCGAATCGGCTAATATGTATCGATGATATCATGATAAATCACTACATTACAAACCATATATAATTTAATTTTATAAATACATATAGTTTATATTAAAAAAAAATGACAGCGTTTATATTAATTATAAATTTTTATATATATATATTTGACAGCAATTATAAATTTATAATTAGATGTCTGATTTTCACTAACGTCGACTAATCCAAGATGTATTTATAAATGGCTTTTTAATTACTAATGAATAATTTGAAATAGATACTTTGCATATAATTAATTAATTAGAGTGGAGTTCTAAAGAGCTGTAGTAATTCCTGAAAATGAGTGTCAATTACTATAATAACCCATGAAGATTTATATGGTTACATACTTGATCAAAAACATATACTAATGTGAGCATATACAGACAAAAATATATAATTACTAGGATATGACCCGCGGTATACCGCGGGTTAATTATTTGATTTTTTTATCTTTTTATAAATTGATGAATTTGTTGTGTATAATATTTTTTGTTGCACACCGCGGATCACATGCGTTGTAACTAAAAAATAAAAATTTTAAGTTATATTTATTTTGTTTAGTGTTTAAGATTATATAATTGTATTTTGATTTGTTAATTCTAGGATTTCAGCCGTGATATATTGTCCCGTATTAATATCAACCCAAACCCGTCCACCATATAATCCCGTCCTGTGAAATTAAACATCAATTTTGGGTCAGAATAAAAAAAACGACCTGATTAAATACGGAATTTTAAAAATATTAATACTCCCTCCGTTCTTTTATAAGTGATGTTTTAGGAGAATGCACATCGATTAAGAAATCATTTAATTTTTGTTTATTTCTAAACTAAAACATCATTTATTATCTAATCAACCAATAAAAAAACAATCTACAGAATATAATTCGTCAAAACCAATAAAAAAGTAATTAATTTTGTATTGAAAATTGAAAACATCATCTATATATGAACAAAAACAAAAGCTTAAAACATCACTTATTATAGAACGGAGGGAGTATAAAATTTGAATGAAAATGGATATTAAATCTTTTATGTTAATCAAAATATGACATACACTATTTTATTTAATCATCATTTAACGCCTCGAAAAAGTTAGAAGCGGCTCAAATGGGCCAACATGGGCCTTGAGGACTTCAACTCTGACGCTGAACTCCACTTAACGGGCCACACACACTTCGTCTCCAAGCTTTCGACCAAAAGAGATTGAGCGATTCGCAGACTCGAGGACGCGACTGAGAGAGAGAGAGAGAGAATGGCGTCGTCATCATCGAGAGGAGAGATGGAGAAGATGGGAATCGATCAGGTGAAGGCGTTAAAGGAGTAAGCGGATCTGGAAGTGAATCTCCTTCAAAATAGTCTTAACAGCATCCGTACAGCCACCGTCCGTCTTGATGCCGCCGCCGCAGCTCTCAACGATCTCTCTCTTCGACCTCAAGGTTTTGTTTATTTCACCTCTCGCTATTCAAATTGATATTTTCAACGATGGATGATGATTTGAAACAATTGAAAATTGTAGGTAAGAAGATGCTTGTACCACTGACTGCTTCTCTATACGTTCCTGGGACACTTGATGAAGCTGATAAGGTTTTGGTTGATATTGGCACTGGTTACTTCGTCGAGGTAATGAGAATTGGATTATGTATGAACTTGTTCTATTAGACTTGTTCTTGTGTAGCTAAGTGTTTTTTTGTGTTTGTAGAAAACAATGGATGATGGAAAAGATTATTGTTAGAGGAAGATTCACTTGCTCAAATCCAACTTTAACCAACTTTTGAGGTAATCTAACTCGTTTAGCAATTTTCAAATGCCTGATTTGTTTTTTTAGATAGATTCTGAGATGGGAGAATAAAGAATTAAGCCTACACTTTTCTTTCATACGGCTTATTGAGTATGTCTTTCAACTGTCTTTTTATAGAAGAATAACACATTTCTTATGAACATTAACAAATATTGTGAAATGAGTAAGTGAAAAGGAGTTTTTAAATTGAATGAGTCTGATTCTTATTAGGGGTGAATCTTTTTAGAGTTCTTTCAGTGACTTGATCCATTGTAGAAAAATGTTTGAGGGATGGCTGCGATGGAATGCAATTGATGAAATTGAAAGTCTAATTTGTTTCTTCCTTTAGCGTCACAATTACATTGAATCTGCACTGCAAAAATACAAAATCATGTTTATACATTTGTCTGACTATTACTGGGGGTTTTGCAAACCATAAAGCAAATATGGAATAAAACAAAGGTAAACTAAACATACCTTTTTAATATGCTTTTATGACATATCATTCCAGCAGGATTATCAGTCGATATTCTGGAAAACCTCTTGCTGCAGCCATTTCTTCTTGGTAAGTGTTTATGTTTTGAAGCTGTAGATTGACTCGGTATTGTTGTAAAGCGTGGAGAGATGCAATGGAAATGAGACAGTATATATAGAGGTTTGACAGGTATTAGGGTTTTGGGATAGATTACATAGGAAATCTTAATTAGCACGGTTTGGATATCTAAGAAAATATGTAAATCGGCATATACGGTGAACAAATAAGGATAATATCTTTTTGGTTAGAAGTAGTTGACAAATATTGAATGTGGAGAGAATATTGAATTGATATTCTTACCCTTTTTTAGAAAAACTAAATGATTTATAATGTAGTAATAACTGTTGAATATACGCAATAATCAATCATAGCAATTGTTAGGATTTTGTTGTTTTGGAAAGTATTATTAGTAGGATACAATATTATTAACCCGAAATTCTTGCATTTCTTTTTGGAAAGTTTCATTATTTGGATCCGTAATCAAAATTTGCGGGTCATTTAGTCGGGTCAAAATCAAAAATCCGGGTCAAAATCTTAGTAATTACCCGACCCGATTTGGGTACCCCAAAAACTGCTGCAAAAATGTATAGTAGATGTTAGTTTTGGTTTTATTAGTGATGAGATTAAATAATTCAATTACTGATATTTTCTATTTTGCGTGTTCTTAAATTAGTTTGTTTTTGTTCCTTCTTTTATTATCATGAAAAATACTTGGTTCAACCCTGATATTCACTTTTTTATTAAAGCCAATTAGAATCTATACCACCTAATAATAATAATAAAAATTATTTAACTATAAAATCTAATTTGCCACTAAAACGAAATGATGTATCGGTTTGAGTTTATTAGAAAGGGTTATGGTTTAGATTTTAGGATTAGTTCTGTACATCGTCAAATGGAGAGCCGCCAACCATGGGAGCTGCGAACCTCCGTAGAAGTTTATCTCCACTACATGCCGAAGTCGAAGCCCTTCTCTGGGCAATGAAGTGTATGATTGGTGCAGATCATCAAGAGGTAGCGTTCTTTACAGACTGTTCAGACCTGGTGAAGATGGTGTCTTCTCCAACTGAATGGCCGGCGTTTTCAGTGTATTTGGAGGAATTTCAGAGCGACAAGGAGGAGTTTTTATCTTTTTCTTTATCTTTAATTTCTCGTAGGGCTAATGTTAAAGCGGATAATCTGGCACGAAAAGTTCGTACAGAATCGCTTCATATCACCTATGTAAACAACATTCCTCAGGAATGGCTCTTTTGAGCTTTAATTAATTTCGGATGACAAAAAAAAAAAAAGATTAAACGAAGTTAAATATCGGTTTGGGTTTATAAACGGATTTAAATTTTACAATTAAACAAGGTTAAATGTCGGTTTGAGTTTGGAAAATACGATTAGGATTTAGATTTTTTACGATTAAACAAGTTTAAATGGCGGTTTGGGTTTACAAAGGAGAATTAGAGTTTAGTTTTATAATTAAACGAAATTATATATCGGTTTGGGTTTATAAAAGAGTTGTTATGGATTAGATTTAATCATTAAATGAGTTTAATTTTTTTATTATATACCGAATTCTGATTGGTTAAAATAAAAAGAGAATCCCTAGGGGTGAACACAAGCATTGTTCGCCCAGAAGCATTGTTCGCCCATCAATCAGTTGATTAATTGCAAATTTGGAATAATCAATCAAACGTTCGCCTTTTATGGTTAGTTCATTGAGATCAATCAATTACAAGTATATTTCAAGAATTCATAATCAATGGATCATGATTCCTATATAACTAATTTATTAGTAATACAAATTAAATTACATGGTACTCCGTCTCACTACCATTTATATAACATTTGTATAATTTATTATGAAAATCAGAACAACATTAGTAGTGTTACATTACTCATCATATATTAATTATTGCACTTTCCTTATAACTGAAATTTAAAATACAATGATAATTTATTGAGTGAAAATTATAATTTATTGTTTATTTTTAATAGATCATGTTATATTATATATATTTTATATTAATTTTAGGAATAAATAGCGATGAAACCATTTTATTTGAAACATGGCTTCAACAATTAGGTTCCAACTTCCAAGTGGGAATTCCGATGATCACTTCAGAAGATAGTTATATTGTGTAAATTTGTCGCAACAAAGAAGTTTCAATTTTTTTTAGTTTTGCTGGATTTGACTTAGTTTTTTAAAACGACCCTAGCTAACTATAACTTTAGCATTGCTTATAAACCGACACGAAATTTGTAAAAACGAAAAAAAAACAAGTTGGTTTATCAATTATGATTTCTTCATTATACGCCAATTTTTTTTTTGTTCAAATTCATTAAGCCAATTTTATATCATCATCAAATTCAAAAGTCAAAACAATCGATTGGTGAATTAATAGAGAAGTGAACTGATATGAAAAAGAATAATGATAGAAACTACATCACTATTCCGATCCATAGAGTTTGTCGATTATTTTTTGTGTGTTTCGAAAGACTTTGCTCCATGAATTTAATCACATCTTGCAACTTGTGGTATTATTTTCTTTTGTAGACGCAATTTGTGGTGTTAAATATGGTAAAATGTGTACTTTCAAATACTAATAACTTAAGGTTTTTTGTTTTGTTTTTTTTCCAACATATTGTTTTGGTCTTTTATAATCTTAATAGTCCGAGGATTAAAATTAAATAGCTTTTGTATATTACGAAAAAACCCAAATAAATAATATTTGTGATTAATTAATCGATCATGTAGTACAATTGCGTGGTCAGCTTAGCTTGGATCTCGGGGCACATGATTTTTTGGAATATACAGCGAAGAATCACGATGTACGTACTCTGTTAATTTGGTTTTTATTTAATTTTTCTAATTTCCAAACTAGTTTTGTTAATATATGTTTCCAGAATCAAAGAATATTATTATTTACTGTAAATCTGTAATATATATATACACTCAATCAAGCTCTCAAAATTACTTCTCATTGTATTAAATATGAATCAAGTCTGAAAAATATTTAAAAAGACCTTGGTGCTTTCTTTTTTCATCCCAAAGAGAAATTAGTGATGGTGAAAAGAGAAAAAAAAAACTCTAGTTTCTGTTGCAGTGAATTTACCGCACACAAACATCCAACCAAGTTGACATGTAGTATTTTTTGTTTTTACACCGAACCAAGTAGTTTAGATGTTTTAAGATGTAACAGTATTTAGAATTATAAATTTATTTTATATGTTCAATTTTTTATCAAAATAATTATTTTAGAATTTAGAAAATGTATAGAAAATTAAAAATCAAGGAAAATAAAAAAATGGCAATCAATCTATTTTTACCATTCAAACTTTACATTCATCAAATGAGTCCATCGAAAAGGGAAACTGACATCTTTGAATCATATTTAACCGAACAGGAAAGAAACATATAAAAATATTTTGAAATTAAGTGTGTAGAAACCCAAGTTGAAGAAAACTCATAAAGAGGTACATGCTTCCTTGGAAGCAATAAGGAAGCATGTACCTCTTTATGAGGAAAATATACTCAAACTAGTCTTGAGTGCTGTTCCAAAACCAGACAAGCTTCGTTGGCTCCCTGTCAAGGGGGGGTCCTACTCGGCAAAATCTGGTTATAACCTGAGCAGGAGCAATCCAGTTTTCCCCCACTCCGATAAGTTCAATTGGGGCTCTAATATCTGGAAGGTCCGTACATCACCAAAACTAAAGATGTTCCTGTGGAAAGTTGCTCGTAATGCTCTCCCAGTAGGTGTTGCTCTGGCGGCTAGAGGGATGGACGCGTATACTTCGTGTAAGAGATGTGGTGAAGTGGAGATTGCTGAACATCTGTTCTTTACTTGCCCTTTTGCAAGGCGGGTGTGGGAGCTCCTCCCAGTCAATAGGCTGCCCTCTTTGAATGGGACTTGGACTGTTAAGGAGCTTCTAGTGGAAGCTCGCAAGGCGATCACTCTCCCTCCGGTGGGAGTAAGCTTGACCCCTCTGTACCCGTGGTTGCTCTGGTTCTTGTGGAAGGCCCGTAACCTGCTGATATTTGAAAATCGACTCAGCTCGGAGGAAGACACGGTCCTTAGAGCTGTCAAGGAAGCAACAGCGTGGCAGGAGGCCAAAGCCCTCTCTCCTTTGAAACCGACTAGCAGTAAAAGAGAGGCTCGCAGTCCAGCTCACAAAGATGCTCTTTGGTGCTTCTCTGACGCAGCTTGGAAGGCGGAGAGCAGCTGCTGCGGACTGGGGTGGATCATCAAGGATCCAGCCAAGAAAGTGATCCATCAGGGATCCTCCTCAAGACCCTTTGTTTCTTCTGCGCTTGTAGCAGAGTCACTGGCTTTAAAAGCGGCGATTTCGGCGGCTTTAGCTTTGGGTGTTTCAAGAGTGGCCTGCTTCTCGGATTGTCAAGAGCTTATGCTCCTCCTCAATGCCGAAGGCCATGCTAATGAGATCGATGGCATTTTAGAGGACATAAAGCTCCTCATTTTGAACTTTCTCTCTGTTTCCTTTCATTTTATCCCGCGTGTGGAAAACTCTGAGGCTGACTTGCTTGCAAAGTCAGCTCTGTTACCCTGTTCTTCCTCCTTCTGTTTGGGAGTCTGAGTTTTTTTTTATATTAAGCAATGGTTCACAAAAAAAAAAAAAAAAAAAAAAACTTTATAATATATATTTGTTGGAACTTTATTAGATTTTAATACAATAGAATTCCAAGAAAGATTACGGAGATCACTTTGCCATATGGGTTTTGTCTGAATTATTTGCTTCTATGCTAGCTATTGTATTGGATTCAAATGTACATTGCATAAGATATTTATATAAGAATGTAGGCCTGGGAAATATAACCGAACCGATTTGTCCGAACCGACCCGAACCGAGATTTGGACAAATCGGTTCGGTTATTATAGATTCATTCGGTTCAATCGGCAAAATTATGCAGAGATTTCGGTTATATCTTCGGGTCGGGTCGGTTAGTGTTAACCGAACGGGTAACCGAGAACCGGAAATTAAGCACTACTATATAAATGTGTCTTAAACCTAGTTTAACCTAAAGCTCTTTTCTCTCTTCCTCTTTAACAAAAACGGCTGCGAGCCTACGACACTCTTTCTCTCTTCCTCTTCGTTTCACTCTCACTCGATCTCTCTTCAATCTTCATTCATCTTCTTCTTTCTCAAGACTCCACTGTAAGTCTGCAACCCTTTGTGCAAGAAACCTTGAGCTTAAAATTCTTCACGTGGGTCATCGTTCTCTCTTCTCTTGCGGCCATTCCGTTGTTCGATCCATATATCAAAGGTTTGTTGCTTGATTGAATGGGTTTATTAAATTTCTTAGTTCTTTTGTTGAATCTGAATTGAAAACTGAATTAATATTGAATTTTGGGTTTAAGAAAAATTTGTCAATTTTCGTCTTTGAGTTTGAACTAAGAACTGATCTTTGAATGTGTTTCTCTGTTATTTGTTTAATTCTGTCGTAGGATGAGGTTAAACTTTTCACTTTGGATTGATTTAGGGTTTAATTCCGTCAATTAGGGTCTTGTAAATTGATTTAAGGTTTTGTTCAAGTGTTCAAACGTTTCTGTCTCCATTCCGTCTCTCCAAATTGATTCCGCCATCATCTTCTTCTTCTTCCTTCGCCATCATCTTCCCTTGGCTTCTTCTTTTCTCTTTTGCAGGTTCAATCAAGGATACAATTCCAACACTCCCTCTTGGATCCTTGATTGAAATTTCCAATTCCAATTTAGGGATTTGAATCCCATTGCTCCTTGCTTCTTTTTCTTCTCGATTATGAGAAGTTCTTCATCATCTCCCTCTTGCTTCGATTCTTCTTAATCGAGCTTCTTTCTCTATCTGTGGTGCATAGCATCTCCAACGACAGCTAGAGGTCACAACTCTCACCGATCACCAGTCACCGTCACGATGAAAGTCTCTGCCGCCGTCTTCAACCACCACTTTCTCCGTAAGTTGGCTCTTCTTCTCCTTCTTAAGCTGAATCCCCATGGATCCAACCCTTTTCTTTCCAGTTTTGTTGCGAATATTTTTGCCATCTCTTGGCTGGTTTTCTTCGCAATCTCCCTCGGTTTTCTTTGATCAAATTCTTGACCAAAGTCTCTTTTCTTGCAGGTAACACTTCGACCCTTTAGCTTTTCTTTGCCTTGAGCCTTCTCCATGTCACCTCCAAGTCTTCTCCGTGAGCTCTTCTCACGTCTCTTGCTCGGCTGACATTGCAACCGGCTTCAGCTCCCACTGTGGTGAGCTTTTTCTTTGCTTGGTGTCTTCCTTTGATCACCAGCCTCTTCACTCTGTTTTTGATTCTCCGAACCATCACCTTTGGCTTTAGCTTTAGGACACTTTTTCTCTGACTTGAACCACCACCTCGGCTTTCACTACCGTAGTATGGTTGGCTTCTCCTCAAGTCATCACCTTAGCTTTCGGCCTTAGTTGTTTGGCTCTTTGAATCTCCACCTTGGTTTTTCTCTAACCTTAGCTTGTTAGGCTCTTGAATCATCAACCTCCGCTTTCTCGGACTTGGTTTGTTTGACTCCTTGAACCGTTGGCTTTGGTCTTTCTCTAACCTTGGCTTCTCTTTCTCCTTCTCGTTTCAGCTTACGAACCACTCGGATTCTCAGCCTCAACAAGCATCTTCAAGCTTCACCAATACAATGTCGAAGAAGAATTGAATTCATCACCTTTCACAACACCATCTCCACACCGTTGTCTTCATTGCTTCTTCCAGAAGATCTCCACGTCTACTTGGATGCACCTGAAGCCCTCCTTCTCTAAGGTACGGTGGGAAAGAGTTTGTGTAGGTTGGTGGTGCTCTTTCTTGTCACCACATCTCTTTCCTTCTCTTCTTTTCCGACATAATCTCAGCTTTGCTCTTCTTTTCCCTCAGCCTTACACTTCTCTTTCTTGTGCAGGCTCTTCTCTTCTTTTGTCTTGAGCACAGGTCCACTCAAGATTTAAATCTCTTGCCTTGAGCTCAGGTCCACTCAAGGTCTCACTCTCTTCTTCTTCTTCTTCCACGGCTTCTTTGCCGTCTCACTTACAGCAGCTTCTCGGGCTGCATCATCTCTTCATCTTTGCCGTCTTCTTCTTACGGCCAGCTTTCTTCTTTGTTGATGGCTGTCTCCATCTTCCTCACAGCTTTTTCTTCTTCTTCCTTGGACAGGCTCCAAGATCAAGTAAGCTCTGATACCATGTTGACATTTGGACCTCTTCACACTCTTTGAGGTCACAACCTTATTCTCTCTTTGTTCTCTTTAGTGCTTTGTATCACTCACTCACTTTAACACAAACACAAAGAGAACCTTGTTCTCTCATTCTCTCAAGTCTTTGGTTAGATTCTTGTTTCAACACAAAGACATAAACGTTTAGTAAGAGAGAAGAGAGAAAACATTAATTGTCTACATTTTGTTTATTGGATCACAAGGATACTTCTTACACAACACACATAACACATACATATAGTGGTTTATCTCCACTTGCTACTCTAGACACATGGACCTTAATCATGACTCTTACACAAGCCATACTCCTAAACACTAGGTTAACTATTGACCTTACTTCTAGATAGAAGTCATACAAGCAACGTTTAACAACTTTCTTAGACTCTAACCACTCCTACTAACACTTCTAATCTAACTAAGGTTTACAACCACTTCCTTGGCTAAACAACCATTTAGACAAAACACACTTTCTCTTGGGCCTAACAAATCCACAGCCCATTAGTCATCTTAAGACAAAACCAAAACACTTCAAGCCCAACCTTCTTTTGTTGACTTGTGTCTTCCTCCTCTTTGTCGTTGACTCTCTTCACGCCATCTTCTTCTTCTTCTTCCTTCGCCATCATCTTCTTCTTCTTCCTTCGCCATCATCTTCCCTTGGCTTCTTCTTTTCTCTTTTGCAGGTTCAATCAAGGATACAATTCCAACAAAATCTAAATTGATCGCTTCATTTGAATAGATTTTTGCCCTGGTGAATTCTGGAACTTCAAGGGAAATCAAATACGCATTACATTTAGTAAAAGGGTACTTTTTTGGTAATGGAAACTACTCAAAGAGAGGAGCTTTCGAGCTTCTTAAGTGTTCTTCCTCCTGTGGATTTCTGTTGTGTTTATGGTTCCACATTGCATCCAAATAACCAAGATAAGGTCTTTGTCTTCTCCTTGATGATTGTATTCCTGTTTCTGAATCAGTTTTCTAATTGAGTGCAAAAATGTGACCTTTGCTTTGTGTAGTCTAAAATGGTGGATTATATCCTTGGAGTCTCTGATCCTATGCAATGGCACTCTCAGGTGAGCAATATCTTTTGATTGTAATTGTTATAGCAGGAGCTATTTATTTAAGCCCATGGATCCTAATTCATATTTTTTTATTGTGTGACCAAGAATCTGAAAATGAATTCAGATCACTATGCTTCATGGATGGTTCACCTTGGTGGAGCCAGGCTGGTATATTATTACTCTCTAGTCTAGTCTCTATATTCCATACTCTTTCAGTGCTTATACGGCTGCATCAAATACTGAACATACTGTTCTTTTTATCCGATATTAGATTACAAATGTTGCCGATAAAGTAGGAGTTGGAGTTCACTTCAATCCGTTTGTCAATTGGAACGACAGGGTAAGAACTTCCCAGGAACTGTAGAGTTTTTTAAAACCTAGTGAACAATCTAAGTTTGATAATGATCGCGTTGTATGTAATCTTAAGCCATTTTTCTTGCATGATTTACTTTCTTTGTGAAGCTATTTGCAGAAGCTCAAGTATGGGGTTGTTCGGATGCATGACCTAGTACAGGACATACTAGACTGGAATAGATTCTACTTGAGTGGCCGTTTACAGAAACCGGTATGTCAGTTACTTGGTGTTTTTACTAATAACCATGGTTCATGAGATGTTTTAGGAAAGTGCCTTTGGTTGCAGGTTCATATGCTTGTTGATAATCTGGACATAGAGGATGTGAATTCTGTTAATAAGAGAGCTGCAATATCTGCAGCTCTTCTTCTCTTACCATCAAAATTCACCGAGGTTGGTTTTCAATTCACTGCTCAGAAACCTTGAAGTTTCACTAGACTGTACACTATAACTCACAGAACTCTTGTGCAGGAAGATCTATACGCCAAAATATGCAGCCTTTCTTACATGGGAGACCTGCGCATGTTTTTTGCAGAGGACACTAATAAGGTGAGAGAGAACCCAGTCATGTTCTTGAGTACATCACATAGCAAAAATTGTTCTTAGAACATATAAACTATTTTTAATTTTTTGGGTGAAAAGATTTCTGATCCCTTGCCCTTTAGGTGAACAAGATTGTAAAGGGACAATTTGATATTTTCCAGTCAATGTATAAGCCTTTTCTTGAAGAGTGCGAGACCAAAAACTTATTGAGATTCTCATCGGCTGAAGCTAGTCACACTAAATTAGTGCAGGTATACACAGTTTATAGGCTCCATCACCAATTCACCATGGATATAACTCAGTCTTGAGATTGTTCTTATATCAATCCTTCTCAACTTGTGAGCAGGATTCTAGCCTGTCAGCAACACGTTCTCTGGTCTCTTATCTTCCCGCATCAGTGAGAAGCCTAATGGGGAAGTCACTCGGGGAGAAGAAATTCGTGAGTGAGACAGGTATCAACTCTCTCTCGAGTGATATAAGCTATATTTCGATCCTAAAGATGAAATGGATGCATGATTATTGATTCTTGATGGCAAAACTGGTATATATGTATAGGTAGAGTTATGGGAGAAGTTTGTATAGGTTCGAGAGAAGAAGCAGCGAAATGTATGGGGAATGTAATGAAACGAAGGGTAATGGTTTCAAGCGCAAGACAAGCTGTATCTGGTTTCTTGGCTGCTGGAGCTATCAATGCAACAATGTATCTTTCCCAAAAAATGCGTAAAGCTTGGAACTCTCGGGCATGAAGACTTTGCAAAAACTCCCTACGAAGGTTTAGATGAACAAGTTGAGGAAAGTTTAGATCTTGTCTCCAATAATTGATCATTCTTTTTTTTTGTTTCTAAGTAACAAGTTTTTTGTTAATCCCAAGGGGTTTTTGTCTTCCGATGTCATGATAGAATCATAGAACAATAGCAACAAGGACCACCTATAGGTACAAGTTAGTACATTTGGGCTTAGGTCAATGAGCTTATTATTCTCTTTCTCACCAACAATCTTTTGTGATAATGTTGCATGAGATTTTAAAAAAAAATGTTTCTCAAGTAATAACAATAATCATTATGTTTGTGTTTTAGGAATCCTCAAGATTCATGACACCATGTAAAATTACTCGCGTTTTAGGGATTTTTTATAGTTTAAAAGTCTCGGATTCATGGCACACGATAAAATTATAAAAAGTACTCACTATATAGAATAAGGTAAATATTTGTATGAAAGGATGGATACTAAAAACAATTATATATTCGATTAAATTATGTATAAAAAAGACAAACAAACAATTCACACATGGTTATATTTGACCCCGTGACTAGTTGAAGGTTGACACTTTTAATCGTACATTTGCTTATATATACTTTAATGTAATTTTCGTATGTGGACCAATTTTTACGTTTCCGTACGATGATGGCTTCACAATTTAAATTTTAAACCCATGTGATCTAAAACTTACCCCAACTATACTATTAAAATTGTTTGCATCTCTGTCTGTCCTACAAAATCAGTTGACTCGTTGCGTACGT